ATCACCACTCATCGCTACCTCAAACCTGTCACCCTATACACACACCTCCCCCTGTTCTTTCAACCACGTCTTTGCCCTCTGGCTGTCCACACCCCAGCTGTCCACTACAAGCAGCCACACCAGTCTGTTCACCTGCTCCTGCCGGCTCCAGTCCTGGACCCCCGAGTCCAGTACCAGCCTCAACCTTCGAAAAGGTTAGTCTTACATATTCTTTATGGTTTCACCACTACATTTTTATTAGCATGTATAAGTAACATAACAAGCCAGTAAAAAGTTCAGTATTTAATAGTTCTCCTAAATATATTCCTCATTATGGACGGTGAAAACAGGAGATACATTTTTCCCTCTTATTTTCACAGAGTAATGTTCATGCTGCACCCACTGCAGAGCTGTGCAAGCAGCCGGGAGCAGTCATAGAAAGCTTTGTGAGCCACTCTCCGGGCATCTTCTCCGGGACTTTCTCTGGTAAGTCTTTCCTCCGTGTGTGAACAGCAGTGGCTTGAGGACGAAAACATAACACAATGAGAAACAATGGCAGCTCAGTTAGAGCTCAACTGTGTCACTTTGTACCAGTCCTTTTTCATCCACCTCATGCGCTCTCTCTCTCTCTCTCTCTCTCTCTCTCTCTCTCTCTTTCTCTCTTCTTATCCCATCAGGCACTTTGGCTCCTCACAGTCAGAACAGCATCAGTCACCCTCGACGTGGCATCGCCATCATTCTCCAGATTCTCAATGACCTCCTCAGAGCTGCCTACTCCCACCAGGGGGCACCACCCACCCTTCCTCAACACTGCCCTGCTTTAAACCTTCCCGTCAGCCCAGTGGTTGCAGCAGAGGAGCCCAGCAAAGCAAGAAGCAAACCACCAGTGACCCAGAGGGCAGAGCACTTCAGTAAAGCTTCAGGTCAGCTTGAGCAGATTTTATTTTGTAAACAGTGACAACTGGTCACTTGCACACAGGAGGAATAAATCCGTAGAATGCATCCTTTTGTTAACCTTTTGTTATTTCTTTTCCCTCCTGTAGGTGAGGAGACTCACCCCCTCTGCTCATCCACAGAGGAGGATCAAACCTTGCAGTGTAAGCTTGAGCGCCTCCAGTTTTTGATGCATCAGCGGCGCCTTCGCAGGCGGACTCGCAGGAGCTCACACCTCTCACAAACGTCTCACCCGTACCAACATCGTCACCATCGTCCCTAGCCTCCTGATCAGAGAAGATCCACTCACTGTGATAGCGGTGGCAGCTTCCCTGATGAATAGAAGGAACCACGATGGAAACCAGAATCAACCACCTCTGTGGAACAGGTGAAATAACAGCGGCGTGCACTCTGGGCCCGCCGAAGGGATCCGAGAGGGAGACGATTTGTTGCCATTTTCTGGAGAATGTAAGCCTAAAAGATCTGAGGACTCTAATTCCTGTGGTTGTCATTGCACTAAGCATGTTATTCCATCTAAGTCCATCTTTCTGTGACAGTGGCTCTCATTGCTATGTAGCATATGTCACAAAAGATTCCAGTGTCTGTTTTCATGTTATACGTCTTGGTGTTTTGTACAAAGACCTCTTACTGTATTTGTTTGTTTATGTATTCAATGCCTTAACCATACATGTCTTGAATGTAAAGTCTATGTTCTGATCTGTGCAGAGGATGTTTCACTTATGCAATAGTAAGATGTAAACACAAAGAAGGAGAAAATATGCAAAGAATAAAGAAAAAAATGGAAAAACCTGGACATACCGTATCTGCTACAGCTTCATTTAGGTATGATGGGTCATTTTACACATGTAAATATGCTCACGCAGTATTTGGCACCTGGTTATAAGGAGAAAGGCTCTCAGGTCTCTCACAGGCTGCATTGCTCAGTTTGGTACAAAGAACTGATCCAAATTTTACAGCCGGCATATCTCTATTCATAACATGCTTATTGATTCACTGTGTCCCAGGTACACAGCACTCTGTTCTGGGTTTTTACAGAGTTAAATAGTTTGTCACCGTCAGTCTTCATCTCATACGCTTTGGCTCCTCCCCTAACAATTGTTTAAGTATTTTGTTCATCTTTTATTCATTCAAAGAGATCCACACCTTCATGCATGAGGAAGCTGTATTCTATGCTCTCATTACAAAATGATTACAAACACACACACACACACACACACACAAAAAAACTGAAGCAAATGGTAACAATATTTAAGTCACTGTGGGGCAAGTTTTGTGTAATTTTATTATTTGGAAACTGGGGAAACTGTTGAGTTCCTCAAGCCCCTCAGAAGCCAGAGCTGGTGTCTGAGCCCAGTGGTAGCATCTGTTCATTTAGTAGCTCCCGGTTTGAAAATAGAGAGGGTCTATAGAATAATTGATAAATGGATGTATCATTTGTTTGTTGGTGGAACAAGTTCTGAAAATGACTGTTGTATCAAATATATTCAAAGTGCCTATAATCAGTATTTTTGTTGTAGAAGTTGAGTATTGTTATATCCATTTGAGATTTTGGGGATGAGGCTGTTACCGATTTTCTTAGTCAAGGGGAGGGAAGAAAATATAAATAACGCCGGGGAGAATCTTGAATTGAAACTTAAGCATCAAACGGTCCCTAACAATTATTAACATGAAATGAGCTGAGAGGTTTTGAGTGGAAAATCACACAACTAGACGACATACAACTCGCATGTAGATTTTATTTCCTGGGGTCACAAGCCAAAAAGATCTAGAACCACTGCTGTCCACACTGAAACACTGTTTCTCTTTCATATTTAACCCCAGGAAGCAGAATGTGAGCAGCAGTGATGTGCAGCCAACCTGAATACCTTCCCTTCCTCAGCTGAACTTTTGCACTTTTCTCTGACACTGATGACACATGAGGATCCTTTTTAAAGGGGATTTAAAAGTGCCTCCCACCACAGCACAGTGACTAGGTGAGTTGAGAAGGAGCACTGCACCTGTCTTCGCTGTTGAAATACAGAGAGAGATTAAACCAAGAGATCCACATAAAACCTACCAGCCTCCTCCTCTTCAGTCTCCTCTGGAAACCACATGGCCTGCTCTTTTCATTGAGGGGTATGTTTATTTATTCAGCTATAAAACAATGAACAGCACAGTTCAAAAATGCAGCATAATGTCATTTTAGGTGGTGGTGGTCTGCAGATGGGGATGATCAAGTGTGCAGAGCAGCTGCAGCAGCATGTGAAAGGCCAGAGATCTGACCATAGTTGGTAGATGTTTTCACACTCAGGACTCTTGGACTCATATGACCCTATCCTAATGAGAGTGCTGTGGAAGAGCCAGTGTTGACGGAGGGGGACACCATGCTGGAGCATCAAGATCAAGATGGCATTATTATGCTTAAATGTGTTTAATAAATGTCTCTTGCCAGCCAGGCTAGCCTTTTCCATCCTGTTTTCAGTTTTTATGCTGAGCTAACGAGCTGCTGGCTGTTATATTTAGCATATAGATATGAGAGTGATATCAATCAATCATCTCATTTAACTCTAAGCAAGAATCAGCTCATTTCTAAAACTGTCAAACTATTCCTTATGTAATAGTGCACAGAGGATGTGGCAGATGACATCTGGCTGGGCTTTGGGCCTCCTACACAGATGTACCTCCCTCTTCACTTCCTACACATGGCTTTCAAATACACTTCACTGCTTACAGATGCGTGTACAGACACGTCTACCTCCCACACAGCCAAATTGGACTTTGCCCTAATTCAGGCCTCACACACTTGACCAGCAAATTACCTCAATGACTCACACAAACTGGTGCATACAAACAAAGCACTTGAAACATGCAAAATAATCATCCTTAAATATTTAATGTTATATTGCTGATCAGTCAGCCTGATGGACAATGAGGCATATGAAAGTGTTTGGTATACACGACGCATGCTCATTCTTTCTCAAGATTGCTTTTAGTTTTGTTATGAAGGTTGTAATTCATCTGACTGCACTGAGACAGCTTTAATCAAGGAATCAAAAGAATGATGTTGAGTGATGTTCTAATTAATGGATTTCTTATCAAACTAGAGGAGAATGTTATATTTCTTTATCTAGAAGCCTTGAATAGAAAGTGGGACAAGTTTTGGGTGTACAATTTGGCCATTCATTATGTTTTAGACAGGAAATATGTAATCTTTTGGTAATACCTTACACAAGTTTAGATACTGTTGGGATAAAATTATGTTTGATGGCAAGCTATTATCTCCAATCTGCTCTCCAATCATACATATACACAAAAATTATTTTGTAACATCTTATTGGACCAAAAATGGTCCAATATGCAGTGCAATGCAGAAAATTGCAATGAAATGAAAGATGTTTGCATTAGGGTTGGGAGTATCGATACCCCTGATATGTAGTCTCTTTTGGGTTTGGATACTAATGTCAATAGGATTGAAACTTAAAGCATCACATCCTGGACACATGGACACTCTTCTTAGTGCTGCTGTTGTGACCATGTGCACACTGATCACCACTTTAGTTCACTGGACTGAACATTTATTTACCACTGAAACTGTCTTGTGTTCAGAAATGCATGTGATTAAGTAATTAACACAGAATAGTAAAAAAATAAATGCTGCATGTTTGGAAAATGATTAGGTGAAAATTAAGCTATATTCAAAAAAGGGTTATCATTAATACATTTAAATTATAACATACCTCTTTATATACAGTCTATGTGACATACATTACATGACAGTACATTAGCTGCTTTTAACAATAAACAGTATTGATATTGGTTATGATATTGGTGATCCTGGCTCTGGTATCACTTTCCAATCAAAACCATATTTTGTGGAATATCATGCCCCTAGTTTGCATACTTAGATTCATATATGGATTTTTCAGTGAGGGAGAAATAGTAGATGCAATTGTAAGAATTACTAACAAGGTAACTGAGCTTCTTTGTTTAAAATTTCATTTTTTTCAACCATGGTGTTACACCATCCAGTACAGTAGGTGGCGGTGTGGAGCCTCACGTTATAATGTGACCTGCATGTACACCGGCAGAAGAAGACGTCAGTACGTAGAGCGGTGAAAAGCAGAGCTCCGTCTCTTCCCCCTCATTCGACCTGCGGCTCAGCTCATCAGCTATTTGCGAACCACGAGTGAAAAGGTAAATGCTGTTTTCTGTCTTATGTTTACCACATTCCAGAGTAAATTTTTGTGTGAATTAGTCACATCCACACACATCTACATTTTCGAGGCACGAATAGCATGTTAGCTATTTAATTATTTGATAAAAACCACGTTCAGCTGCACACTAGCTTTAAAATTTTTGATAGCGATGTAAATCATTCGCAAAGCATGAGATCGCGCCAAAAGCGTTGTATTGCTGTTCAGAAAAAGATACGTGAAATTTGGCGAAATTTGTTCACTAACCGCTTTTTTATTCGCTAATCAGAGCAATTATATAACGCAGAGAATAAGGCAGCTGAAGCGTGTTCCTTGGTCGGTCAGTGAAACAAAGTGAGGAGCAGCAGCTCGCTGCTACAAAATGGCGCCGAAAGGAAAAAGGCTAGGTAGCTAATCCGCTAACCAAACGAAACCACGTTTACGGGCCTGAGGCCTAGCTCGACATCCATCCGTTAAAGGCTGCTATTAATTCAATTCAATTTTAGACTTAATTTTAGATTAAGTCTACTTTAGTGCATTGTTTTGCATTAGATAAAGGCTTTGGCACAATTACGCGGGTAATGGTGGTCATCTCGTGTAACGGGATCAGTGACCTACTTTTGTTGGTGGTGGTGTGTGTCGATGTGAAAGCATGGAGTAGGTTTCTTAGTTTTTGTAAATATATGCGTTTGTTTTAGATCAAATGTTAATTATATTTTGTCTTTGTTTTGTTTCGCTGAAGATGTCGGACGAGGGTAAATTGTTCATCGGAGGACTGAGCTTTGAGACCAACGAGGAGTCTCTGGCCGCGGCCTTCGGCAAATACGGAACCATCGAGAAAGGTGAAGCCTCCTTTTTAATTCAGCACATTCCCCCCCCAGATAAATCACTGTTATACCGTCAGGAAGTGATTTTGAATCACCGTTTGACGGTACGTGGCATTATTGACGAGATTTTTTTTTTCCCTCCATTAGTGGATGTGATCAGAGACAAAGAGACGGGAAGATCTCGTGGTTTCGGCTTTGTGAAATATGATAATGCAGAAGATGCAAAAGATGCGTTGGACGCCATGAACGGCAAGGTAAAGAACTATTGACCACTTATTCCTTATAAATTGTTTTGTTTGTTTTTTTTGTGTTCTGTTTTTTTTTTTTTGGTTTTTCATGTATATACTAAAATGACCAAAGTCGTCTTGTTAACCCTTTGCACAAACATTTGCCAATACATATATGCTTGTATGCATGTATTTATCATTTATCATTGACTTTTAGTTATACATTGCTATGGATGGGGCTTTTTTATTTTTATTTTATTTTTTTATATAATATTCACTAATGCCCTTTGTGTTGCAGACCCTAGATGGCCGGGCTATTCGTGTCGATGAAGCAGGAAAGGGCGGGCGCTCCAGAGGAGGTTTCGGTTCAGGCCCACGAGGTGGCAGATTCAGTGGATCCCGGGGGAGAGGTGGACGTGGTTATTCCCGAGGTGAGAACCGGTGGCCTAAATATATTTATAGTTTGTTCGGTTTACTGTCAAGTCGCCCATATTTATCTTGCTTTGTCTATTTACTTTTATTGACTTTGGAGGTGGGGGATACAACGGCGACAGGAGCTACGGCGACAGGAGCTACGGCGACAGGAGCTTCGGAGGTGGAGAGAGGAGCTTTGGTGGTGGTGGATACAGGAGTGGGGGATACTCCTCAGGTGGCTACAGAGAAAATAGGTAAATATACTTTCCAAACCACAGTTGAGACTTCATGATATTACATGGTAGTTAATTTAATGTAATTATGCTAATTAAATGTTTGCTTAATTCCCAGGGGTCAGGGTGGATATGGTGACCGCTCTGGATCCTACCGCGATGGATATGACAGCTATGGTAAGCATGAATGAAATGCATTTGTATTGTGTATGTAGACTTATGTTGGGGCTGTCATTTTCAAACTTTAAAATATAACACTAAATGAACTTGCATATATAATACAATTTAACAAAAAGGCCAGTTTAATATCGGAATCTAGTTCCTTAAAATCGTACATATAAAAAATTACATGCATAGTTGGCGGTGGTAGGCTAAGAATTATAAACACCTCATCACATTAGAAGTGGTCAAACACTGAATTAAGACAATTTCACAGCCCCAACATATGAAGACTTGTATCATGTACGCCCCTCAGTTTTGTACTTGTGCCCAAGTCGATGCCTCTCTGTACACCGTTGGCAAATTTTGCTAGCCCCCCCGCCCCCACTCTGATAAAGAGGCTGGCAAACGATTTGAAACACTTTAGGTAACATTCAGCATTTGCTATTCTAATATTGCTCGTATCTCAGTTGATGGAGCCCCTTAGGCAAAAAATGAGGGAGGGTTTTTGGACTGTCTGGTGGGTTGAAGGGGATGTTGTGAAACTCCAGTGTTGGAACTTTCAGTGTCTTTACCTGTGTGCCCACTTCTTATCCTCAGCTACACACGAGTAAACATCTCCCTGATTCAAGATCATCACTTGGCTGGCTGTATTTCAAAGATGCGCTCCTCAAGAAAAATGTCCACGTGTTATTGCTGACCTTAGTTTTGTAGTTCTGTTGTAGTAGCTCAAGCATCTTAAAAAAAAAAAAATGTAGCCATGAGTTTTGGTCATTCCTTAACAAACCATGTTACAAATTACAGTTCAAGACTCTTACATTGCTCGATTGGGCATCTTTATTGCTCTAAAAAGATCGTTTAACTACAAGGCATCTCTGTAATCTGATAAGTACCACAAGTCCCCATTTGGGGGCTCAAACAATGACTCTCCACTTGGCTTTTCGTTGAACAGCCGCTACCATCGCTGTAGACTTTTTGTCCAGCACGTTAAAGTGTTTCCTCATTTAATTCCTTAGTTTTTGAGTTTGTTTTTTTATATTGAAATATCCGATGGGGCTTGTTTGGTTTTCTTTGTTTTTTTTGTTTCATTTTTTTCTTATTTCCCCTCTCAGTCTCTGTGACTCGCCTACCTCCTGTCAGGTTTTAAACTGAGTGAGGAAAGATCCATTTACTCTAGAAGAAAACTTTTGGGGGATTTAATGCTAAATTCCTTTTTACTATCAAAAACTTAGTTTAGCTGAGGCTCCTGTGTGTTCAATTTCCCAAAAGAGTGAATTCCTTTCAGACTGGTGAACTACACATCCGAAGTGGCCGGCTGTTCATGAAGTTGCAAATTGCAGCATGCTACAGTCTGTCCAAGGTATCTTCTGTGCTCTGCTCAACATCTGCATTTTAAATGTGCTGTAAAATGGACTAATCTTGTTTAAGTGATCGAAAATGTAACTTCGTTTCCCCAAAGTAATATCTCAACCGGGAACAGTTTTGTACTTTATGTTCTTTGTATGATCAACATTTTTTTTTCTTTGTCAGTTTGGCTTCATGGAGCCTATTAAACAGACTGTGGAAAATAATCTTGATTCTTTTGCCTTTTAAAACTACCGCATGGGGGAAGTTAAGCTTAGAGCTGTAGGTTCATCTGTTACTGTAATGCTGCGTGAGAACCAAGTCAACTGCTCAAAACACTGAAATTGCACATGGATGTCTCTGGAGGGCAACTATAAATTGGCAGTTTAGTCAAGTGAAGTTCTCTGGATAAGATATAGTAAAGCAAGATAAGCTGTAATCTGGTCTTTTTATTTATTTATTTTTTTTATTTTACTTTTTAAGTCCACTTCTTTTGACAAGCTCTCTGCCTGGTTTCCTACGATCTAAAAACTAAAGATGCTTTTTGGCCCAGTGAATCCTGTACATGTTTCAAAACTATTTATACCCAGATGTGTTGACGACTTCATAGTGTACTGAGATCATACCTCTAGTGGGGTTTGAGTAATTAGCCCCTAAAGTGGCGCATGGAAATGCTGGGGAAAACCTCAGCTGGTGTCTGGTCATGTTAATGCTTCATTACGTTCAAGAGGTCAGCTACTTCAAAAACCTACAAGTCCTTGGAGAGCGAAGTGTTGCGCCTACCAACAAGTGCTCATCAGAGATGAAAGCTGCTCTCTTGCCTAGGTCATATGTGGAGAAAGTAGGCCAATGCACGTGAGGTAAAAATCTCCTTTTGCTTTGCTCACATCCTTCAAACTCAGTTCTCATTGTTTCCATGAATACCTTCAAGTTAGTCGCTGTGTTTAGTCCTCTGCTTCAGATGTCGCCTACAAACATGCCATGGCCTCTTCCCCGATTCTGATTCTTAAAGAAATGTCCATGGAGGAAAAAAATGTTTCTATGAAGCTCCTCTGGATTGTAGTGCTCCACCTCCTGAGTCCACCAAAAAAAGCATTGGCCTCTTAAGTCATGGGTAGTATTGTGCTCAGTCCACTTCTGTTCACTGCATTAGTCCTCAAATTTGCTCCAGTAATGTCCCACAGCAGTCCTATTTGATGTGTAAGGTGTCTAGACTGTATTCAGTTGTTTCTCTTTGTACCCTTACATATGAATAAGTGGTGAGTTTCAGACTCATGAATAGTGTTGCATGCATTTTATTGTGATTTCTTATGTCAAACATTAGTTGCTGGGCTTAATCCATCCTTTAATCTCTTTCTCTAGAATGAATGGACTGTTGGAGGCTTCACTGGATCTCCTCATAGTTGAATCGTGCAGCTTTAAATGGCAGTGACTGATGATGCAGATGCAGTTATCAGGTAAACTCAGGTTTTTATTAATATGAATGTTTTGGATTGGTGCAGTCGCGATTGGCCGGGCTGATTACGTCTTTTTCCCCCCCGATTCAGGTCCAATGTACAGCAGCACTGGGGCAGCTGTAAGCAGTGGCTACACAGGAGGATCCTGCCAACTAAAAGGTCGAGGCCTCTGAATATCAAATGATGGCTTGCCTTAAACACATTTTTCAAATGTTATGGCTGCTATTCAAAGTCATTGATGTTAAAAAAAAAAACAGGGGCAGGATGATGGAACTGTACGCGCTAGGGACCGAACATAACTTGAATTGACTATCTTGTTTGAACATAACAAGGAGTACCTTTTCAGACAGTTTACATGAAAGATGGAGTACCGTTATCACTGTAATGCTAATTAACTACAGGCACAAGACCAATGAATACTATTGTTTAAACTTTTTGTATTGTGATTTCAAAAATAAAACTGAAGAGAATTAACTGTTTTGTTGTTGATTTTACAACACCTTAAAACTGTTAAAATCTTTTACTCGGTTGATTAGATAATCGTTCAGTTGACATACATTTCAGTGTTATAATGGATTTAAAGTAGACTACAGATGTGGTGCTGCTGACAGACAAGGTGTTAGCTGATTTGTAATCTGTAACTTGATGATGGATATGTTCAAATGAAGCCTGATCGTGTCAGAAGTCAGTTTAATGTTGATCAAATTGAACAAATTATAAAGTCATCTTTAGTTGCCTGAAAACAACAAAGACATGTTATCATTGGACATGGTCAACAGATTTTAGTTGTTTTTTTTTTTGCCAAAGTGAGTTAGTGATGGATGTACCGCTGTACAGTCTGAGTGTTAAGACTTTCTGTGCATGTTCCAGGAAACCTGAGAACATTCTCCAGTGTTTGCCATTTTTGTCAGAAGGGAAATTTCAGCAAGCTAGTTAAGCTGAATAAAAATCGAGATAATGCAGATCAATACAATCTATTTGCTGTTGAAGATAAGTGTGCAACAACCTCCACATTCTAGTTCAGTGTTAAGCCTCTGAATTTGTCTTCGTCAGCTTATAGTGTTGTGCACCCTGATCAAAGATAGCCAGAATTCCCCTGTTCAATGCAATAATTTATTGGTGCATCATTTTCTCCGATGCATTTATGTGGAAGCAGTATTTTAATATTGCTGGTCAAGTTGGAGCTTATTTTATTGGCTTCATATACCTCTAGATGATGTGAGTCTTTTCATTGAAATGGGGTTCAAGTATAATGTAGCAAAACTCGAGTACAAAATAGAATGGACGTGAATCTCTATTAGGTAAATGCTGTAAACTTCAAACTGAAACAATTACAACAGGTAAACAAGGATGAGGTAAAGAAAAAAAAAGTTTAATATTGAACATTTACAAGCTGAATTGAGCGAGGGCTCAGGTCCACACAGTACTGGCTGTGGAAGGTGGCAGGACACTGTTCATCTCGGTGGTGCTTACACGTACCACAAGAAGCCGAAACGCTTGTGCAAAAGCTCCTCACGGGGCCGGAGGTTGAACAGCTCCTCTGACACAGGGGTGACCCAGCGGTCTGTGTGGAAGACGCTCTCTCCGACCTACACAAGTTTATATATAATTAGAAAATTAATTTGTTGACAAAAACAGATTATAGTCATAGTCAGAAAATGTTTCATATTCTAAATAAATATTGTTTGAGAGATGCTTTTACCAAACAGGTTATTTTACAGATTTTCATCCATTCTTATTGTTGTATGCTAAATCCTGCTTTTCAATATCCGTTGCTCAAAAGTTGAGATGAATTTATGAAAAGTTTCTATCAGTAAAGCTTTCTATTATTGTCAATCCTTACATGCATACGTAATGGGAAACTACACTTGATATGTGGGTCAAAAATTAAGATCATTACTAGAATCTGAACATCAGGTGTGTGTGTACACCTCACTGCATGTAACTACCTTAGCTACAGCTAAGTTATGCCAACAATACATCCACAACTACAGTAATGTTAGCTACTTTTAAACTGGGCTAATTATACAAACAGTAACTCTTTCAATTAACAGTAATCAATGTAAATATTATGTAAAGCTCCAAATTTAGTGAAAAATATACATAATGTGAAATGATCTGTGTAAAATGTTACTTGTTTTGATGAAATTGAACAGTTGAGATACAGTCCATAGTACATGCTGTAGAACTGTCAGAAAATAACTAATATGGATGAAATTTTAATTTGAAATGCATGTGCATCATTTTTGACCCACTAACGTAAAGTTAATTTTTTTAATTGTCACAAAAACACTGAAGAATAAAAGAAACAAAAACAGAGACGGTTAATCTTTGACTTACTTGTGCATCTAGGGGTCAATAAATATGAAAAGCTGTGATAAATCTATAAACCAACATGTGTATTAAATGTTATGTAATTTAATTTCAATTTTAAGATACCGAAAAATTAATCAATAAGCAGTGGTCTACGAGAACAAAAAGATCATTTCTTTTCATTACCTTCCAACCTGGAACGTCCTTCATGACAACCGCCTCCTCTTCTAAATTTTCCCTCAGCATTCGTAAGGTCCTGGCCAGAGGGACAATTCAGTTGTTATGTATGTATTACCAGATTATAACACTAAATGTGTGTATTTGTGTTAATTTTTTATTGTCACCTTCGATCTTGCTCTGCCTGCAGGAGGGGCATCATAGCTATCCGAGCTTCCATCTCCTCAATCTGCAGGCGCCTGCGACACATAAACACGTTACATCACCGCCAGTTTTAGCTCGCCTGTGAACATTACTAAGTTTGACTGTGAACAGAGCCTTAAGCACAATTGAAAGAATTTGCCTACCTCCTTTCTCTGTTCCACCTAAATAGCCTCCAGTAACCAAACACCATGATGCCGATGCCAATGCCAAACATACTATATCCTGTTGGTCAAAGAATTCATTAGTCACAATTTAAAGCAGCATTATATTCACATTTTACATTTCATTTACTCATTTGGCACAGATGATTTACAGTTGGGTTTGAGTGATATCTCAACCACATTATCGGATCAATTTCAGCATGTTTGTTTGGACATGCATCAAAGCTAATGAAAAACACAAAATAATAGTAAGCTCCTTAACATGTGTTTTCACCATCTGTTTTCTTTGATGTTACAATAATGGAATAAATTAATCTGTAGTAGACTGCTTATAAGATCTGTGGCTAACGCTCATGTAAGGCAACTATATCTAGCAAACCATCTGCTGCAGCTGCTGTATGTTACAATGGTAGCATCTAGACTTTAAGGCAGTCAATTTAGAATTTTTGGGAAAGCTATTTGATCTTTGTCAGAACAGTTCTTGATATCGCCACCAGTGTAGCAAATAGCTGCAGAAGTTCAGACCTACATATCTAGGCACACATCAGTGATGCTGAATGTAGCAAAACAGCAGCTTCTACATTTGCAGAGGTGATATGATGATACTCTGAGCAGAATGACCCCTGTACTCTCCCCAGTTCTCAGTAGAAAAATGTTCCGATCTGAAAAACTAATTTTTGTGGTGTATATGTGAAATCTAAAACACAGGCGATGCAAGTGGCAAAACTGCAGAAGCTACTAACTCACTTGCATGTGCAGCTGTAAACGGTTGCACGTCCACTGTAACAGTTGGACAGCATCTGCACATGTGACTGCTAACACTGTGACTCTCTTCGATGATTTGTTCACAATTGTTGAGTCTGGTTTCAGGTGCTTCTCATCAATGACACTGAGTGTTGGTCAAATGAAGTGATCTGGAGATGTTCCATTCAAGGTTCTGGTAATGTGATGGAGACATGCAATTATTTTTTTTTTATGACTGAGGAAATCATGTATTGTTCTCTGTCGTGTTGTTTTGTTGGAAATAATTGCTTATTTGCATATTTATCTGTCTAGTGGTGGTTCTTGTGTTCTGACAGTGTATCCAATGCGTTGATAAATATGTGACCTTATAAAGACAGTGTCCCAATTGTTTTGCTAATGACAAAAGAAACGGTCGCACTTGTTAATATTTCGGCTTTTTTGGTCCTTTTTTATGCCTAATGTAATCACAAGTATCACAAATTTAGGTGAAACACCAGGCAAAACGTTTAATTCATTTATCTTTTGGCTTTCACACAGCATCTGAGCTGTCCATGCTTAACTACAGGTTTTGGAAAAGCGGCATTAAATAAACTCAAGAGTTTATTTCCATTTACAACAATGTAATAATTTTATTGAACTGAACCTGCAATGAACCAAGAGCCAGTGCTAGCTAGTTAGCGTGTTGCTATGATCACTGTCAATAACAATTCGCATAAAAACGTTGTTTAGACACTAAAACATTTTACAGACTGTGATATTATATTGTTGGAAGAGACAAGCGTCAATTTAAGAGCCACCAAGAGGTTAAAGATCCTAATTATAGCAGATTAACTCCTGTTTCTACCCAACCGGCGCTTAACCGTTAGCATTAGCCGCTGTTAAATAAGTAGCAAACGTTACATAGCCTGTACGTTCATAAAAACTCATTTATGGACGTGTATATTTAGCTAACTAAATATGTGGTGCATGTACCCGAAAGTCCTCGTTTCGGTAGATTTCTCTTGTAATCAAACGTAGCATAGCCTCCCGGAGGAGGCATGTCCTGCTTCACCTTGGACCCCGCCATCTTCCTCAAGCCTTCACCAAAACACGCTGCTGACGTTCCCGAAACGACTCTTCTTCGCTCATGCGGAAATGCTGCAGCACCGCTCTACCGCCCCTACCGGTCAATATGAAAACTCCACATTCTAATAACTATAGCAGCTGTTTTAGTATATCTTAGTCACATTACAAACGTACAAATGTAATATTTAAAGATACTTTAACTACTTGTGTAAAACTGTACAAAAGCAAAACTGTGCTTCAAGTTTCAAAAATAAAAATAGTAATTATGCAGCAAAATGCCCCTATTGTTACATTATTGTATTTTACACTATTATTGGTGATGCATAATCATGTAGCATTAATGTTACCTCGATAGAATTAGGTGCAGTTCTTTTAAACCACTTTAAATACTGTTGCACAGTTAAACCTTTATTACTGCAGCATATTTATTGTGATGATTATGTCTGTTATACTTAAATATCTTAACCCACAAAGTAACTAGCAAGTATCTAAGTAAAGGAGTGAAATAAATGTAGTGAGGTGGTACAAATGAAGTACAACAGTTTCCATTTCTCTCAAATGTTGACAAATAGAAGCATAAAGTAACAGAATATGGAAACACTGAATTAAAGTACATCAACAATCTATTTAAGTGCAGTATTTGAGTAAATGTACTTAGTTACATTCCACTGCACCAATTGATTAAAGGGCACAGCTGCCTGTGAGGTTGTCACAGGCAGCTGTCACATGTTGCTGTTGTGGCAGGTATTTGTAGATTATGTTAATATATTACTCTTTCCTAATAATCTCCCCAAACCTGTCTGTCCTGTTTCCATCTCACTTGCCAGCTGCTACTTTGTTTCCACAACAGCCTTTTTACTTCCTCTATGCTCACTGAAATGTATATGGCCTCCTTCTGACTCATTGCTTGTTTTCCCTTTTCCCCTTTGATTTGCAACATACCTAATTGAGATGTTTCTTGTCCTCTAAGTATATTGATCCAATGACCCCTGAGAGATCACTTCACTAGTTTACTTGATTCAACAATCCATGCCATGATCATATGAGAAAGTTGGAGTACTGGAATTGTCACCCCAGTGAGTTTTGTTTCCAGATTAAATGTTTGTGTTATATTATCAAAACATGAATGAAAACAAGTGTTTAAAATTTATATTTTTTATTATTTCTTTAGGAGCTAAGAAAAAAGTAAACCAAATAAATTTTAACATAAGTTTGTACAATGCAATTAAAATCAGGAAGCAGAGAAATTATGTAATATGGTGAGAGGTACAAGATAAAAATGGTATTCCAGGGTCTTGGTAACTGGGAGATGTTCCCTTTAACAACTGATTCAGGGCTATGTATATGCCGGATATTGCATGGATTATGGTTGTATAAATCGGAGGCAAGATCTCTGGCTCCAGTGTGGCAAATTCAGCTCCTTCAGAGTTTGCATTATCTCAGCGATGACATAACACTCAAAATAATCTTACAATGTTGACATTAATATAAAATAAGCAAATTACAAATGGTAATTACAGATGACTTAAGCAATGACACCATGCTTCTTCAGCTAAGGTGCAAAATGAACAGAGGGGTTAAGGGTAGGCATGCTGTTAAACAGGAAAAAAAAATACAAAGCTAGAATAAACTCTTCATTTGTGGAAACCACAATAAACTGAGTGATTTTTAACATCAGTCAAAAAAAACAAAAAAACAAAATAACTTACTGTAAATACAAAATATTCAAAAATTCAAACCTTTAACTACAGGGGTGATGTACTGAAAATTTTACAACTCAGTTATTTTGTTTTTCCTTATGATAAATGTATTGTATGTATGACAAATGTATGACTATAACCATTCAAGTGTCAAAAGGTTGGGTCAGTTTGACCCACATCATGGCAGAAAGGGCTTACAAGCCCAGAACAGAGCACTCATTTTTATCAAAGTACTCACTGCTGACATAACCTCTTACTGCACCATTATTTATCCACCCAGTCTGGAGGACAAAAGTACCCAGGGGGGAAGCCCTTCAAGTATTTGTTTGTTTGTCTTTTTCTTTGCTTCAATCAAATCAAAATTGTTTCTGCACAATTACCAAAAGAACAGTGAACCTCAAAATAAACAACAGAAAATAAGAAAACTAAAATAACAATCATAGATAGGTAAGGAAGGAACGTTTTTTTTTTTTTTACTTTGAGAGATTGTATTTGCTTAACAGTCCTCCAGGGGGTGCTGTTGACTTTATTATTGGAGCTGAGGAACTTTGACAAAAACTAATGGTGAATAGAAGAGTATTTAATTTATTTCCATGTGTTTGCAGTCTGCGAGATCGATGAGCGAGAGGGGATCATGTCCAGCAGGTACTCCCTCTGACGGGCATCCACGGCGGCTGGCGTCTTATGACCTGTCAGGCTGGGGTTCACATAGGCCATAGTCACTCCTGTGAACATGCAACAGAGCAGCAGGTGAGGGTGTGGAGCAAGTCTCATGCTGTTCGTTTAATACTTTTAGAGTTGAACAAGAAAAAAAAAGAGGTGTAACACCTGAATATTTAGCCACCCATATTCCCACAACACACAGAAAGACAAAGGAAAAATGACAGCATTTCTACTCTAAGGTACAGTAGTGACACCCAGGAAAAAATAATCCACCAAACTGAGGGACTATAGGAAGATGGAGATCATTTGCAGATGTGGAACTGGAGAGTGGGATTGCCTTGTCCGAAAACATTTCCTCCTCCGCCTGTTTCTTAACTGTACTTTATTTTTCTCTAATGTGTGTGATTATTCTTCATAAATGCACCTTGTTAATGATTCCTTAACACTAGAAAATTTTGAATTTAGGATGTGTAAGGATTGCTTTTGGACCAGACAGGAATTTGAAAGAGAGTAGATGTCAGGCGCCAGAGTTGGGCTGGTATTAATGTGAGTCTACCTGTGTTGCTGTTGCTCTGCTTCTTCCATGCAGTGGATGAGGCACTACCTCCGCTGATATTCCTGCCGCCGCCGATTCCACTGCTGCTCACCTTTGAACTCTGGACAGAGCGGTGAGAAACATGGGCGTGCTTACCTGGCCGGCTGACCAAAGCTGCGGCCGCCACTGCACTCTGCAGCTGGGAGGAGGAGGAGAAGGAATGGGGGACACCCCTCACCCCCACTGATGAGACACCATGGGACAGCTGGCCCTGGGTGGAGTGGAGTGGAGTGGAGTTTAGAGACACACACAGAGGGGTTTTGACTTACAGTGGCACTGCTTGCACAAGTATTACTCTTAAATAGAAAAACTGATTCCAACCTGCTTGATGGAGTGGTGGTGAATGATGTTGCCTCCTCGGCTGGCCTGGTGGTGGTGGAGGGAGGACGCTCTGGCCTGAGCCTGCTTCAGCTGCTGAGACACCAGCTGTTCTGCCTTCATCGATGAAGAGGCAGATAAAGAGGATGAGGAGCTACTGTGGGAGACTGGTGAGGACGCCTGCTGAATGATTCGCTGCTCTATTTCCTGCTCTTGTTGCAGTGCTTTGACAAACGCAGCTTTCAGCCTACTGGTATGCTCAGCTTTCAGAGCCTTTTTCTGATTGGATGACATGCAGTCTTCACAGAGCACTGCTCCACCTTTAGTCTTGTCTTGCCTCCAGCGGCAGGTGAAGTCAGTGTTGCACTGAGTGCAGATGAAAGGGTCTCTGACAGTGGGCTTTGACAGTGATACCCCTGTCTTTCCTGTATGGAGACAGATGTCAATAGACACTGATTAACTGGCTAATCATTTCATTTCTACATTTTCGTCATTAAAACATAAAACCAACCCACCTCTTTGGATGGTATCCAGCAGATTCTGTACCACTTCTTCCAGTCCCACCAGGTAGATGAACTCATTATTGGCTGCCGAGGGCAGGAAGTTGAATTCTGGAGCAGGTGGTTTGGGTGGGGGGATCTCCAGAAGGGTCTTCTCCAGTTGTTTTCGCAGGGCAAGTTTAGCTGCAGCTTGGCGACTGGCTGGAGAGTCATTCATGTTAACCACAGACACACCGCTGCTTCCTGAGGAGGAGCCCTTCAAACTAGATGGTGAGGCCTTTGAAAACAAGCAAAAACAGGAAGAAACAAGACAGGTTTAAACATCCAGTCAACTGTTTGAGCACTACAGAAATAAACAAAGTCCTCTAGGTGTTATTAACTGTTGATTAATTATAAGGTGTTTAATGATCAAAGAAAAAGTGCATTCAATTCTTACTGCTACACACAAGTATAAAATTCAGTGGTTAGTGGTTACTATATGATTATTATAGCTTATATTCATATCTAAGGATCACTTTGCTTTATTTTCATTCAGGAGTGTGTTTCAGCATCCAGATGTGGTAAATCATAGGTTCTAAAAGTGAAACCGTTAACGAAAGGCTAGTCTTTTTATGATTTAACTAAAGCACACACATGCCGCCGTGCCAGTCAAAAGCTAGAAGTCAAACCTGAAATCACAAATGTAACTTGTTAAATTATTTCACACGACCTAATGTTACCTCTACTTTTTGTCCAGTAGGTCTCTGAAACCAGCTGCTTATGGGTAAATGCGCCATATTGAAGATTAAGTCAGAGGTGGACGTTAGTTAAAACAAGCAGAAAGCTTTTTATCGTTTTACTGTGGCCACAGACATTTTTGTTACTGATTGTCCCCAGGTCAACATTTAACTTAACACAAGTTAACGTCATAAACTATTAGACACGCAATTGTTTTTTAACAAAGTGTTTACCTAGAGTTTCTTCTGTAGTAGCTAGATACTAAAATGTAAGTACTCGGTTCGTTTGTCTCTGATAAATTGAGTTTTACAACAGTTAGTTCCCGACCAAGTAATTTGATCAGACGGGAAGCGTTCCATGAGTGCTGACTTTTAACTACATGTATCAGTCCGCTTCACAGGTGTTCTATCAACTCTTAATTAGCATTAGATTAACGGTCGTTATCTCTCTTAGATTTTAACAAACTTCGAAAAGATGAATATATTTCCAGAAATAACATTTGAATTAAATGATGTATAGTTGTCAGAAGAAGATGAAGTGAAGAAGCCTGGATGCTTCAGCGCACTGCTGAGGTATCGTGTAGACAAAGTAGCAAGCTAGTGTGCACTGTGCAGGTCAGGGAAACGTTTAAGCGTTGTTTATCAACAGTCCAGTTGTGGAACAATTTGTGTTGGCATTGCCAAATAAGTGATAAAATAAACAAACATATCAAATCTGTTGTAATTTTCTGCCTATGACCGAATCACAGCCGTGCTGATATTCAGTACATCTGTACACTCCCTCTCGTGTGATATTGCTTAATTAACGGTAACTAACGGTACAGTTGGCAGTCTCGCTGGCTGCATATGTCGCGCTAGAAGGTATGCTACTTGCTGAATGTTAACAAAATAATGCTAATTTTATCATCAGGTAAAATTACCTTTACTGTCCAGAGCAGCTGTAGATGCACATTTGATTTTAAACAAGGAATGAGACCCCAGAGTCTCGTTAAGACGGACCATTGACAAAAAACCCTCATGAGAAAATAAGTCTTGACAGGCTAATCTTAGCTAGTTAAAGCTAGTTTGATTGGTTGGTTGACTATTATTTGTTTCTAATAAAATACATCCTATTCTTTTAGTGCAGCTTCAACTACTCAGTACAAAAATATTTCATGACTTAAATGATGAACCAATAAGTATATTTAGTAATGGCGCACCTGAACAGAGGGACGAACCTTTGTGCATCTAAGTGCCCGCTGACCTTTCCTCTAAAGTCCTTACAAGGGTAAAAGAGCCAGAGTTTTCATTATGTTGAAACAGATTTTTTCAGAGATTAAGTTAAGATCTAGCTAATCGTGATGATGGAAATTGCTAAGTGGCTGTATTCTCCTAATTCAACAGGTGACCTTGCTGCATCAACTGCACAGGATGCCACTGGAGCTGACTGAGATTTTGCAACATCTGCTGCGCCTCCTATTGGTGGTTTGATGGGCAGGTAAGTAGGTTTTCTTATGAATCACTTGAAACGGTTAGTATAAGAGTAAGATCTGTGTTTAACCAGAAACCCCTGTTAATATCGCTCTGTTCAAAGCCACCAGATTCCACTGACAACAACTGCAACTTTATCTAAAAGAACACAAGAGTTTCTGTTCAACCGCTGCCTCGATGGGCAAGTTATTGTGTGGTACTTCTACTTCAGTAAAGCACATATGTCATTCTGCACAGTGAAGCTCAAACATCAAAGTGAGGTAACAATAAGAAGAGTGGATGGGGACTTGTGAAGTATATTATAGTATTTCTTCTATCCTGGATGGTAAATCACATGTGCATATTCCCTCCTCTTTATTCAACTTGGAAACACCTGTGAGGTACTGACCAGCATGTTAGCACTACTGCCGACTCTGATGAGGCCTGGCTGAACCATGCCTCTCTGGCCCTGGGCTGTGGGGGCTGAGGTCCTGGGGCCCAACAGCAGAGGAGGGGGTCCTGAGCCTGTGCCTCCAGAGGCCGCCAATTGCTGCTGCTGCTGCTGGCGGAGAGCCTGGATCTGCTGTGGAGATACGGAGATGGGCTAACCAGGACAATGAGAGGGACGACACGGGGGACGTCACAGACAAAGGTAGTGGAGGACAAGGAAGGGACATCAAAGGCACCAAACCAAAGGGCACACATAAAGAGAGAGAGGCGCAAAGAGAGATCATAAGTCCTAAGTTTAAATGTAATTATTTCCCAGCAGTTTGTCTTGGAGAGTGAAAAACAGCAGTAAGACTGAATACCCCAGGCTATCATTGCCCAGACAAAGATGAGATTTAAATATAAAATATGGCATTTTCATATTTTAGCATGCTAATAATAGTCCTAATATTTCCCCGTGACTCACCTGTGCCCCTCTGACCAGAGGCGGCATGATGATCTGGGAGCCATGTTTGGATGACACCTGCTGCCCTCCTCTCACCAGTGGTGGAGGGATGACTGTGCCTGAACTCCTGCCTGTCAAAATCTGGTCAGAGAAAACCACCATCAGAAACAGTATGAACTACAGTATAAGGGTGCTTCACATTGACATACACATGTTACGAGCACTAACCTGCTGAGAGCCTTTATTGCTTGCAATTGTTCCCCGAATTAGAGGAGGAGGAGCAGAGGAGCCAGACAGAGCTGAGGGCTGAAAAAAAGAAAAAGAAAAAAATAAATATATATATATTTAACAACCAACAAAAAGCTTAAAGTGGGGGGCTGTGTTGTGACGATGTGTGACTCTTTGTGCTGCTGTTGTTTACCTTCTGGAGGGTGTCCCTCTGTATCTGGCTCTGTCGGAGTTTCTTCAGCAGAACCAGCTTGGCCTCCTCCAGTCTCAGCTCCTCCTTCAGCTGCTTAATGATGCGCTCCCTTTCCGCTGGGCTGCTCTGCTACACTCAACAGATCGTAACATCACTTACACCATGCACTTTCCAAAAGACAAAAAACACTTTCCAGGTACTGAAATGTGACATGTCATGCATCCTGTGGGACGTTTTCAGCCGTTCTGACTTTAAGCATCAATGAAATGTGACTACAGTGTAAATAAAATCTTTGAGGTTACACTAGAGCTTAGAAAATGACTTTTTCACACCTAGTCCGACCTTCTTGCGTCCATAATTAAAATTCTAGAAAAGCCAAAGTCTCAGTTACAATTTAAACTTAATCTAAGGATCCATCTCAGTAGGACAGCAGCGTGACTTGTAGCTTTGTGTTTCTTGGTCTCACCATAAGCAGGTCCGTGTCCAGCTCCTTAAAGTGGCTCAGGCCATTCATGGGTGGACTTGGGGAATCATTATCTGACAAGATGATCACATCATCATCTTCAGGGGACGGAGGGCGCTTCTCCCTTTTTATACTGCTGGACATGAGAACAATGATTTTTTCAGTATTTTATAAATCAAGCACTAATACTGTACATCATGAACACAAAACAGGATTATATCAAAATTATTATGCAAATAAAATGTTAGCATGTAAAAGAAAATTAGAATAGTTAGAAAAAAGTTTTTTAATCCATTTTAACACTTTGATATTCACTTTTCCACTTTTATTTCCCTTTAAGTAGATTTAAGGCTGGTTATCTTATTCCACAATCTTTTCCAGTATCACAAATATTGTGTATCAGCTTGTTCCAGCTCTTTACTGAAGCTTTATCATGTGAAATATTCAAATCCTATACTCCATGTTTTCATGGCTGCACCACATCAAATTAAGATATTCAAGGTGCTTTGTGCATTATTTTATACACATTCCCCCAAAATTCAGACATATTTTATTTATTTTATTTTATATTTGAAAACCTTGGGATCTCCACTCGAATTAAAAAAAAAAAGTATTTCAGTGTTAAAAAGCACAGCATGAATTGCCACTGACTGATCCAGTGGGGAACATTTTAAGGCTTTAAGGCTGTAGCCAGATGAAGAAGTACACCTCAACTGGCTCAAATATCAGAATCCATCAGTAACGCATGTATTCACCAAGGTCTGCTCCTCAACCCCAATCATAATTTATGACCGTGGGTTGATTCACTTCACTAAAATCTAGCAAGTCCAGACATATCTTCACAAAGCATCTCTTCATGTTGATTCTATTCCAACAACAACAGAACAGTCTTGAATGGCAAGGAGGGGCAAAGTGGGAGTTAAATCTCCACTAAAGGTCTTTAAATCACAATGAAAAGGTTGTTCGAGAGCACAAACTGTTGAAACAGGATATTGTGGCAGGATGTAATATAAATCTGAGGCATATAGGGCTAACTACATACAAAGCATGCTAAGGAGAGTGTGAATCTTGGAGGCAGTTTGGATAAACCATCACCTCTGTCTGCAAAATCACGTGATGCACATTTTACACTTAACTCCTCTCAACACATACTGTAAAGCCTCTACTGCAAAGTGACTAGTTCAACTGCAGGCCAATATATGAAAGCAGATGACCTAAATTCTTTGACTAGTGACACTCGCAAACTGAAGAACATGAGTAATGTCCCCATAAAAAACAAGGATGGCCTTGTGATTACACAGATTATGCATTTCTATGAGGCATAAGAAGTCGCTAAAGTCAACGCATGACAATGTGAGGCCTGTCTCTCCTAGCCGTCCTTGTGTGTGTGTGTGTGTGTGTGTGTGTGTATGTGGGTGTGTGTGTGTGTGTATGTGGGTGTGTGTATTAGTCTCTCCTCAGGGCTTAGCGCCATCATCACTTCCTGTGGATTAATCACTACTCTTCCAAAGAAGTCACATGACCTCAAAGTCATCATCACGTGACACACTCACTTTTCCTCCCCCCACCCCCCCCCCACCCCTCCCCTTACTGTTCCTTCCACGGTGGAAACCATGGCAACAACCGGCTGGAACCGGTTTGTGACACACGGCTTCATTTTGTGTGAGGGGAGTTTTTAGGGTTCAGGTGGTGAGTGGGGGGAAAATGGAGGTAGACTAAAAGAGGAAAGAAGAAAGTTAAACATCACCTCTGAGCACAACAACCCCCCACCCCCCCCACCCTCTCCCATACACAGAAAGTTTAAAGAACATGAAGGTCATAAAAGTAACTTATAACATTTTTAGTCTTTTTAGGTTCAAATTAAGTGTCATTTATCCTCTTGTAATTTCCCATTTGTGGGTTTCATAGAACAAAAATTGAGACAAGATGCTTCTAGATGATTTCCTGCACATTCACACCATTACTTTGGTGAGCGGTACTTTGTGTGGTTGTCACAGCTGAGCAGAGTTTACTATGAACTGTTCCTCACCCTCTGGATGTGCTCATGTCCACAGGCTGCTCTCCTGTCTGAACTTCCACTTTAATGGTGGCCTTCACCTCGCCTGCAGCCAGCATGCCACCGGACGCCTTTGGCTCTGTCAGTCGGGCCCGGCTCCTTGTATCCATAGCTTGCTCCGTCTTCACCTTGCTGGCCTTATCGTTGCACTCAGTCCGATTGTCTGAGCTGGGTTCAACTGTCATCTCCTGCTCATCCTTCACCGGCTGCGAGGCCAAAGGTAACACTAAAGATAACGGCACCCGGCTCTGCTCCTGTTCCTTCTCGTGCTCTGATCCGGCGCTAATCCGGCTCTGATCATCCTGTGCCAGTACAGGGTCAGGTTTTGGTTTGGTTTGTGCCTCTGCCGTAGGTTCAGATGGGTCCAATTTAGGCTTTTTGTTTTCATTTTCAACATCAGAGGTTTCCATAGACTGGGGAGCCTCCCTCTCCAGCGCCCTCTTCTGGCTGCGTGTCTGGCGGACAGCCTCCTCAGACATCCCCTGCACATCAAGAGAGAAATAATTGTGTAATCTGAACCGTTATTTATTCGAACAGGGTCAAAGTTACAGGTCAAATCCCACAAGCTACAGAAAGTCAGTATTTAACTCTTTTTCCATACCAAAGTTCAACAGAGCAGAGTCATGTCACATTTAATCACAACGGCCAAGCAATTAACCCACTACAGAGAATTGAAAAGTGCCCGGTTATGCTTATGAAAACTGTAGGAAGTTTAACATTTGCAAGGAATTGCATGTGTAAAACCTAAAGCTGATTGTAGCCATTCGAAACTTTACAGTTTACTGCACAATGTTTAAAAAGACTATTTAAGCTCTGATTGGTGTGTCGCAGTGATGTTGACATTATCTGACAAACCTATACTATGGAGCTATTAACTAACACTAAATTATGTTGTCCATTTTCCTGAAAGTGCAGTTGTGATTGTGCGCCTTTCATTTAGAGTTTAAGTAGACAAAACTGACCTTGAATCAGCTGCAGGGGACACACAGTGACATATTGACCAGACATAACATATTGAATTAGTAAGGTCACATGACCAAGATCCTGACTCAAGAATAAAAATGTATGAAAAAAGTCAGTCTAAACCAAAAGCCAAAAGATGGAGAAACTGAAAAAAAGTACTTGGTGTACAATACAAAAAAATCTGCAGTTTTCTTGACTGTGACAACAAGCTCTTTGAAAGAGGGTTAACAATAAAAAATGTTGCAGTGAGACATCAAACAGTTGGAAGAGCATGACAACACTGTAATCAAATCAGAGTTAAAGGGGACTTGGAGAACATCTAAAGTTAACTGGAGCATGATTTCTGTTAAAATATTCATAACGACCAGTGACTAGCAGTGCTTATGTAATTTACGTGAGCGAAGTGAAACATTTTTTCATTCATTTCAAATACTCTAGCTTATGTATAACCTTTCTTTCCCTGAGTCTGGCACTAAAGGAGCACCAGATCCATTACTGTTTGATATCCCCTGTACAACACATTCAATCCCACCAGATGCTGACATGCCAGCAGTAGTGGATACAGACACATACAGCAGCTAGTTGTGTCAGACAGATGAGCCTTACAGAGTGAATCTGTGCACTCGTAGATGTGCTCCAGTACATGGTGCATACAGACACACATTAACCCTGTAGTGGCTGCTCTGAATCCTCAGTGTCAGGTCAGAAATGAGAGAAGAGACACAGGGAGATGGTATACCACATCAATACATGTTTACGTTTAAGCTTTTGATAATAGCCTATTATAATGCTGTGTGTTCACCTCTGAGGCACTTTCCACATCAGTAACCATTTACCTATAATTGACACCACACAACGTCAAAATCGAAGGGAGTGTGTCTGAGCATTTTTTATAACTTTCCAAAACTGACAATCTGATAAGCACTGACTCCACTCAGCATTTGAACAGGTGTGCAGAGTTGAGGAAGAAGGAAGGGTTTGAACTCTAAAGCTCTTTTTACACAACTACATCTGTCTTTTTTCATATGTACCCCCCCCCCCCTTTTTTTTAAGATTTTTTTTGTTTTTTGTTTAATGTCTGGCTTAATGTGACTGTTGAAAGTCTGAGAGAGATGGGAAACGAAGGCAGAGAGAGGTGTATGACATGCAACCACATTCAGTATCCTGTTATTTGTGATGTAATATATAAACATTCAACTCTCTCTCTCTCTCTCTCTCTGCTATGGATTAGGTCTATTGAATACAATGAGTGTGTTTACATGTGCTACTCCGCTACTTTGGAGTATTTTTGTTATGTACTGCGGATGTAAACATCATAATTGGTTTCATAAAGCGTCACTAGCGGTGGAACTCTATTAGACACTGGGATACCATGGCATGTAAACAGCTTATCCAGGTGTCTGATCAATCTCTGCCTTGTGCGCAGGTGTTTCATCAGCTGATGTGATCTAGTGGTGAGTCAGAACAACAACAAAAATTATGGTAAATTGTGTAATGAAGATCGACATGCTGAAAGAAAGTATGATTCAGTAATGCAGAGTTTGAATTATGTTTTCATTCTTGTTTTCCATTCCTAGTTGTCAGGCAGAGTTACTGAATCAAGCAAAGGGGTAAACGCAGCATACAGACGGAAACCCAACTGTGTTTATCCCCAACTCTTGAGTTAACTCTGTTGGTACAGAGATGACAGTGTGGTTGAAGGACCAAAACACACCTCATGGTCAGAAACCTGGATACAGTTGTGATCATGTCTATGGGGATATCAATAACCAGGTTTTTCAAGTTCAATGTAAACTTCAAAAACCAGTATAAGACTCAAAACTGGGATACTATAAGGCATGTACACACACTCATTGAAATGACTTTGGTCATTATCAAATCTGTAAACGGTAAACATGTGCTGACTCATATGTCATGGTGCACGCAGGGCACGACATGCGTTCAAAGTTCACAGAATCTCAAACAGAAAGCGGAAAGTAAAATTCAGAGATGTACAGTCACATGGTCACTACATATTGAACAACCACAAAGAAGAAACACAGCACAGTTATGTCCCGAATCATATTCATGCATGTATGTATGTTACAGAATCCAGGCCCAGTCCTGCCAACTCTGCTGAGGCCCATGGTCTGCCCGGCGACGCACTACAGGAAGCTATGTTTTTTTTGTTTTTTTTGGGGGGGTTACAATTAACACTTGCAACCTGGGCTACTTCTCACTGACACACACCGTACACACTCCTACCCCCTTCTCCTTCCTGTTCGCAGAACGGTTATGGCGATGAGCATTAAGCACACTCAATATATCTATGATGTACCTATACAATATACACAATGCAGCATCCAGAGCAATCGTCTCACTAAGTTTTTTTTTCTTTTTTAATACTCTGACATCACTCTGAGACACACATGACATGACCCTTCCCAGGATTCACTGGGACACACAAAGCACTTTTCCTGAGAACCGGTTTAAACCGGTTGGCTAGTGTGTGTGTGTGTGTGTGTGTGTGTGTGTGTGTGTGTGTGTGTGTGTGTGTGTGTGTGTGTGTGTGAGACTGAGAGAGAAGCTGAAGCTAGTTTTAACCCTTCAGGTGCTGGAGCAGAGGCAGGGCTTCCACAGTGACGGCCATTATACAGTGTGTGTGTGTGTGTGTGTGTGTGCGCGCGTGTGCGTGCGCGCGTGTGTGTTGCTGGAGTGGGAGGGGGTATTATGGCATTATCAATTCTGATGCATATAGCTGTGAAACCATGTTGGTGGAAGAAGTTAAACATGGGGAACGCCACCCCACACCAACCAACCTTACTCAGACACTGACCCTGTCTTTGTAACAGGGGATCTGAATGGCTGACAGGTCTCACATTTCATCTCTATAGCAGTTTACACCCCCCCCCACACACACACACACAGTGCATAAACCCTCACCCACCCAAGAACTTGACATCACATGCAACCAGTGCAAAGCCTCAAAAGACTAAAACTTAACTTTACACATCTTACAAACACATTCATGCTACACACAAAGCTGACATGCAAGTTAACTGTCTGTTCACTAACGCACATATCAGGATAAGGGCTACAGTAAACTGTCACTTTTAATATGAAACAATTTTTTATCAGTAGGCCTGTGTGATTATGAAGGTTTCATGGTGCAATTATCAGCAGTATCTCCACAACAATATTATCCTGATAAATATTCAAATAAGATGGAAATCCTCAAACAGCATGTAACGGCACTGTAAAGACTTCATTATGTGGTGTGTAGTGGTGGTCATGGTGATGTGTCCTTAAGTTTGTTGGACTGCTTCTTTGCAGGCTCTCAGTCTTTTAATACATCTTTATCAGCGCAATAACTTTCCATCTGGACTTTTTTCCACTGTATCAACATACTTGAACCAAATCCTTTTGACAAGGAAAACAAGTTACATTTGTCTCCACTGTCTTTGTGAAAAATCACAAAAATCACATTATTTCTCCACCTCTCTACAGTATCTGTGCATTTCCCAGAATGCTGTTGGGTCTTCCATTGTGGGTGTAAACAGCATTTCTGTACAAGGCCAACAAACAGAACACCCATAGAGATATTAGCCATGATATAAACTTTCTTTACCGTTTGTATTTCTAAATCTTCTTATATGAAGATTCAGTAATTATTTAATAAAAACTAAACAAATTAAGATGAAATCTGGTAGCTTTGGGACATAAAGGGAGAAACTTAACATAGCCTAAATTGAATGAAGAGCAACTGAACAAGAATAAATAATGGCTTTATTTCAAATGAATCTTTCTCTAGTGACTGAATGTTACACTGTTTGGAGGTGTTTTCCAAAATGTAACACATCTTCACCTCAAAGTAATAAATTAGTAATTACAACATAGTGTTTTGATTGGGTTTCAAGTATTACTTTAAATGTAACCCGGTAATGCAGGAAATACTTTGTATCTGCTGCTTTGTAAAGTAACTTCAGTGAGAATATCAATATTGATATTATTTACAATAATAATCTAAATTATATTTTTTGCAACAATCTTGCCACCCTTGTGTCAGAGTGTGTTCATCATTGATTATCATGTGATAATTAGTGAGTTATATATCTTAGATATAAATGACTTCTTAACTATCAGTTGTCCAAATAACACATTTACTGTGGACAGGTTAAGTGTATTTATTTCGTGGGACTCGATAAAATGAATACATTGCGTTATTACTTTATGTCACATAGAGTCATTGCTGTCTCTGGCAAACTTATTCACAGCAGAAGTGAATGTACTGTTTGTGTTTGAAGAGTATTTTAAAGTGTTTTCCAAGTATTTGTTTAATCAAACTCAATCCTCCCATTAACATTTGCAGTGTAATTACATCACAGTGATCACCACCACATTGTCAAATTGCACAGTGCAGGTACTTGACTCTAGGCAAGTATGGCTTTCACTATTGCAGAATACATGTACTTTAATCTGGCATCAGTGCATTGTCAGAATCTACAGTTTATCTACACCTGTCTGGTTTTCTGCTGAGTGTCTTCTTTTTCTGCCCCAAGGTGCTTATTCATCTTGTCACTCATGGATCATGTCAACCACCAGTCACTCGGTCATCTTTCATTCAGGCTGGCATGCTCACTCTTAACCATCATCGATGTCTGGCTGCACGTACAGTAAGTGTTCCGCCTTTTATTTACCCACTGACAGACCTTTACCCTGTGAAAACATATTTCTACCCGGCACAAGGGTTTCAGAAAACTGCCACCACACAGCAGCACTACCTTGTAAAACTGCTGTACCAGCAAAATATTCTTATCAATTATCTGGCAGCATCTGTTTGAATAACAAATGATAAAAAATAATGGTCTCTAAGCACTAACTTGAAACAAAACCGCTGCTGCATGATTACACTAAAACAATTTAATCTGACTCAGTGTAATTTAACAATTTAGCTTTGGAGCTGGTTATAGCCAAAGCTAATGTTTGTGGGTGACTGGCTTGTTCAATTAAATAACTTGAGCTCTTAACAAGTTTGTGCTTTATGCAGCAACTAACACAAAACAGGCAGAAAAAAGGCAATTAGAGAGCAAATTGCTCCGTATATATCTGTTGAAGTCATGGAGGATTGACCAAACAGCTGCCCTGTGACCCCTGCAGTCATGTGCAGCAGCTTAAAATGTGGCCAGCAGACGACCCTTTCCAGAACAGTGGCCGATTACACAACTACTCTGGATCAGTCTTGTGTGTGATCAGTGTAACAGTGCTTTCTGGAAAACAACAAGGCTGAACCTTCTGACTCACTCAGTCTTGTACGATGAATCCAGCCACTCCAGGGTGGAGAGAACAACCAGTGCATCATGCTGTGGATGTACAACTTCTGCACTGTCTGTCATGACAGGTAGTTCAGTAATCCCACAGTCAACGCACAGCATTCTCCTCTCTCCTTTATTTTAAAGCAGTGTTGGACAACCCCTTCACTAAAGGCAACCTGTATAGTGTTCACAGTGACAGTTCATAAACAATGCAACTATGCACTGGTTTGTTAACATGCAAATAACACTTTAGGCCTTTGTTCTCATGAACAACTGAGTGTTCATTCTAGATCTCCACAAAGAGGCAATAAAGTCTCCTAAAAGCAGATCACTTCACCACTATACCCTCCCCAGTCTACAGAGGACTTTCAAGTGCCTGTGTTGTGTTTCCCTGGTCTGAGTGCAGTACTAATTAACAAAAAATTACTGAAAATGTTAAATATATTTGACAAAAAAACAGATCCGCAACAATGACAACAAAGTTACAAGTGTCCTTACTTTATGGATGTCTTACTGTTCTGTAACAGTGAACTTAATATTTCTGGGTTTTGATGCAACCAAAAGAAGGCATTTGTAACAATGCCTTCAACATATGTAACAATAACACATTCTTCTAACAACTTAAAGCCATTAATTTGTCCTCTGTTCCCTCCTTTTATATTAGTCGAATTATGAGCATATTAAAGTTCAAAGTTGTAGACTACATTTTTATCATTATTACTGCTGAAAAAGCAGCTGATATAAACTTTAATAACAGGTCAGAAATTAGGTAAAAGACTTTAGTAAATCCAATCCAAACCATTATTGAATCATTAATCAAAATGTTTTGAATGAATGTTGAATTCTTAAACAAATAAAGTTAACAGCAGCAGTCAGTGCATACATGTGGTTTTGTCGACATACCATGAGCAACACCGGCTTCCGTCATATTCAATCACTGAATAATAAAAGCTTTTAAATCCATCAGTGCGCGTTCAGATAAACGGACGATAGAGAAATGTGTATAAACTGGTTTGAGATCCTGAGTCTCAGCTTTGTCCCAAAGCGCTGCAAACTCGTACGGCTGAGGTGGCTGGAAATGTGTGTGTGCGTGTGTGTGTGTGTGTGTGTGTGTGTGTGTGTGTGTGTGTGTGTGTGTGTGTGTGTGTGTGTGTGTGTGTGTGTGTGTGTGTGCGCCTGTCTGGGTGAGAGGAAGAGACAGGGAGGGAGTGTGTGCGGTGCGTGTCAGAGTGTGTGTGTGTTCAGCTTTAAGAGGAGGAAGACTACGGTTGTCACAGCGAGAAGTAGGAAGATTAGCTACCAGATAGCAGAACCAACACTGGTGCCACGGGGCTTAAAGCGGGCAGCAGTGTCCACCATTAACGAAACACCACCCAGTACACCATCCAAAATCAAAGTCAGCCCTTTAAAAACTAAACCCAGCCCACACTACATGTGCAGGCAGCCGGCTTTTTTATTATTGACACCGCCTCAGAGGAGGTGAGCGTGTTATTAGTTAGCGAGCTAACATTAGCTACATCGCACAAACAAAAACACGAAGCCACTTTAGCTCGGATAAAAGCGGTTAATATCTGACCATCAGCGGCTAAAAGGGACTACCAGTCAAAGTAGTAAAAGTCCTCCAGCCGGGCAGCCGCTCGTCAACATGCCCCACACAACCAGAACCGAGCCCGAATCGGTGACCTGGCTGCACCCCGATGCGGGACAACCACCAGCTCAAAAGGAGAAACAAACTTTCATCCTACTGCGCTAAAAGTGAGACTGTCTGAGGCTCACTGGGACTATTTACCTGGGTGTCCCCTCCCGAGGAAAAACCTTCGAGTCGGAACTCATAAATTTCATCGACCGGCCCACGGACTGAGCTGAGCTGAGCTGAGCTTGCCGCCGACGAGCCGCTGGCGATGTCACGTTATAATCCTTACCTCATTTAACGACTTCTACCGCACAGAATCCGGTCCAGGGATCATATTGACAAGCTGGCACGCTTAAGAAAACGTAAAATAAAATACATTTTGGCTGAGCAAGCCCCCCCTCCCTCTCCTCCCCGGTGCTCAACCTTTGGCTCTGCGGAGAAGTGTTACTTTTCAACAGCCCATCAGCTTCTTTATCGTCACAGATAGGTGGAGGAAAACCTGGCTCCTCTCGACGAGTCCGAATAAAAGGCTCCCCTCGATCCACTTACTAAAAAACTTCGGCTTTACCTCAGTCAACTTACTCGGTCGCTTTGTCGCCTCTTCTTCGCCGATGGTCGACCAAGGAATGTTTAATCTGCAGTTAACCTCGATAAATCGTTGCTTTTTTGAAATCCAGGGGATATCCTCTTTTTTTCGGCCCTCCCCACTGCCGCGTCTGTTGCCAAATAATGCGCCTCAACACACATGGAGCCGCTGCGTCCTCTTAGTGGGCATGCGCACCTCGGCATACCAGGGCGACAGGATCACATCATGTAAGCCAGTGACCACCAAGGGCCAAAGCAGGACGACCACGTCAGGGGCCCCGGGCTCCTCGGGGTGACCTATGACTGTACCAGCAACTACAGACATCTCCTCTAACACACACTTACACACACTCACATCATGTTACAATAATAATCTATAGAAAGTATAAAGCATCACACATTTACCTCCAAACACTCACCAGCATCACATTTTCCTCCATAGCTTACAATATGGATCTCACCTGGCAACCCCAAGACTCTCAACTCCAAATTCACTTCATTGCCAGTTTGCTAAGCACACTGCATCTAGTTATACCAAAAATATGAAACATGACAGTTGAGAAAGATGCTACAAATATCATTTTGCATAGTAAACTGTGGGTAAACTGCAGTTGCAAGACCATACGACACTAACATTGCATACTGTGCAAGACAGTTGGCAATCCATTCTATTCAACCCTGCCATCTCAGGGACCGCATAAATCCCAGGGTCACTGCAACTCCATTGGTTTTCAGTAAGATGACCAATGGAGTTGCCATTAAAATACAATACAATATATAAAGAATCTCCCTCCCTCTCTCTCTTTCTCTTTCTCTCTCTCTCACACACATATAAACACACACACACACACACACACACACACAGACAGACAGACAGACAGACAGACAGACATACTTCATCTTATATGTAAGATTTAAGTTATAAGCACACACACACACACACACACACACACACACACACACACACACACACACACACAATATACTATGTTGTATTGCAGCAGTCACCTTGTTCCAAGTGAACCATAATCTAAAGCAGTAAAGGTCTTACAGCTCCAGATGAACTATAGTGCAAAGAGAGAAGGACTGAGGCTCCATCAGAGCTGAAGGCAACCATAAAGAAAACTGAGTCCTCTCTACAATTAACTCACCATGCAAAGACGCAAAAAGTCTCTTTTCTGTTGTTCCACTTTAAGAGGATGGAGTTTGGTTTGTTAAAAAAGGACTATATGTGAAAACACCCTAATAATCTGTCGCTTCTAACTTTCTCTCTAAGTGATAATTTTTCAATTAAATATAGCCAAAATCTTGTGTTGTGTATTTGGTGATGTTGCAGTTATAGAATCAGGATTTAGTACAGAGCAGCTGCTTGGAAATGGCTTGGAAGTTAACATGTCGTTGTAATGGATGGCGTTTCGGTCACTATCTCATGCTTGTTCCATTGTCTGACAACAGAAACAGAAAAACATGTAAATGAGAACAGATTTATTGGGAATTTGGCTACATTAATATACTGTATATGTCAGCACAGAGAGCAGGACATAGTCAAACAGATAAAGAGCTGAAACCAGCTGACACTATGTAAATAGCCAATGATGTGGTCCAGTCATATACTAGGTTCTGACCTAGTCTTGTTGTTTGTAATGCAACCCTGTCTTGTGGAGGGGTCCCTGGTCTTCATCTACTTTTTAGACCTTAGTTGTATTTCTGACGGCATATATTTATATGTAAATAAAGTTGTATTGAATCAGTAGTAGTAGTTTATATTGTCTGCATATAGCGCATATTCATAAACAGAACAGTGTTTAATCAAATTGCCTTACCTATAATTGATACAGTAAACCTGAGGTTCATGTACTTTGTGCTTTGTGCTGGATGGAAACTCTGAGGTGACAGAGTGCATGGGGGGTGGGAGACGTAGGGGTTAATAGTGGCCCAATAGCAATCTTGTCCCTCAGGGCCCCCTAATTGGTAAATCAGGCCATGCCAGGGGGTCCAGTAAATACACAACATGAATTCATATGGCTATATAAATATGCAGTACAGTGTATATTTCTCCCCACTCACAGTCCAAAAACTCTGTCTGCGTGTGATCTTACACCAGCAACCCCAGCTTCATATTTACCTCCAGCCTGTTGACCTATAATTACATATAATTACCTCCTGTCTCTTAAGGACCTTTGCTAGCATCGCATTTGACACCCTGACCCCACATTAAGATTTAAACATCAACCCCCAAAATATATTTTCTGTATTAACCTTAGAAAAAAAGATCAATGCAATATCAACCTCGCACTTCACTGTAGGGATTAAGATGGGGGTTGCATTAATGACCAGTCAGCCAGGCTTGCAGCTACAGTCAGATCCATACATGTGAGTCCAGAGCACACACAGCAGGGTTACTACGTCAGAAGTTGCAGAATCGCCTCCATAAAGGCTCCAGCTGGCTGCCTCTTTCATGACAAGACCCGCATCCCTTCAAAGCATCCCTGTGAACTAAACTAATCCTCTCTCATCCACAAACACCCATTCACATACACACATATGTGTTTGAAATACTGTGATCTAAGTAAGAGAAGTAGTCGTCCATAAAGACTGAAGTGGGCAGAGATTACTGTTCTCTAACAGTTGAGGTGGGTGGGGTGGGGGTAGGGGTGTGTGTGTGTTTGAGTGCTTTGTCAGCCTCTCCCTGCCGTTCTTTAAATGACAAAAAAAAAGCTCTCTCTAGATGATGCTGTGTCATCAAATCTGATTGTTTCCGTCCTCTCATCCTTCCACTCTATCTCTCGAAGCTACAGATTGTCTCGCATAAATGCAATCAGATCTGTACCAGGGGGCTATCTTCTCATAATCACCCAGCCCAAAGCAAAAATTTAATGAAGATGAAAAAACACTCTGGAGTTTATGGGTTATAATGAATCTGTCTATAAATACTGTCAGTGGTCCTGTGGACCCATGAACAAGTAGCTGTATACCTCAGCATTACCTTGATCAATAAACAATCAGGGCCAGCTAGGACACTGGGGTCATGTCCTTAGTGTTTTTTTCTGGGCTTTTGGTAATTTTTTAGCAACCTGGTGGGAGCAATCCTTGTTGCGTTAAGTACAAATGTATTGTCATCAAGGGCATCTGGTTCTTTGTTTTTGTTAAGTGTTGTATGATGACCCTGACTAAGGCCTGATGCTGTCAAATGAAAAGTCATGGGATCACCAAACTTCACAAAGACCATGAATGTCTTTCATGGTAAGTTAGCCAATAGTCAAGAGATTTAGATGAACATTGATACAAAATTTGAGACATTTTACTGAAAAAAAATAAAAATAAATCAACTTGTTGCTGGTGCCAGATCACCAAAGTCAGTGGGATTCATCTTCTGGGAACCATGAATGTCTGTACAAAATTTCATTTAACAGTTGTTGAGATATTCAATTTGGACCAAAGTGGTGCTACTTACACTGCCATGCCAAGAGCTACAGTGAAAGTGTGGCTAAAAATGCCCTTGGTTGGAATTTAGTCGCCCAATTACAGCAGTGAATCACTGTATTTAAATTTTAACTGCTTGCCAGCACAATAAATAAATAAGTGATTCACTTTTTCCTCACCAGAATGCCTTTGTTAAGAAATATTTATGAATATCATATTCAAACAGATAAATGAGTAAAATAATACAATTCCAATAATTAAAACATACGTGGAGACTTCCCTGTTTGTGTCTCAACAGATTTCATTCGTGGGTGGAGGGTGCATTGGGGGGACTTGGATTCATGACCTCAGTATTTCTTTCCTGAGTACTGCGTTGCAAGCAATGCATAAGTTACATAATGGGTTTATTTAAAGGAAAGAAATGAAAGGCTTAATTGTCTTTTAATGAATGTATAGTGGGAATAAATAACAGGGACACCTGGCAATATAATAAAATAAAACAGTCCTATGATGACTATAATGACCGCCTACAGCAGCTTATGATCTAATGATCATTAGATGGGATCATAGTCTTCCTTTAAAAGTTTGTTGATTTCCTATGGTTGGACTTCAGGATGTTTCAGTGGATTACATAATATTGTCAGGTGGGCCCGTTCCTTCGTCCACCTCGTCTATGTAAGAACTAAATGTTTAGTTTACTCATTGTTTACAGCTATTACATAACAAACCAGTAGCTTATAAAAGATAGGCCTAATGACACATGACACAGGGAACTTTTTTCTTTTTAAAAACGTGTTATTTTTTAAATGAACTTACATGTTAGGATAGTGGGGGTGAACTGAGGTAATCCTCATCCTAAATGTAGATGGTGTAATATCTGTCTGCAGTTTGACAGGACTGAGTCAGTTAGTTGGTCCTTTCCAGGTGAAGGGATCACCTCTGAAATCAGACTGAGGTAAGGTCAGACTCCAGGCTCTGTCTCCTCTCCGTCTCTCTCCGTGTGGAGTAGGCCCAATGGCCGCCCTGTTACGACATGACAGCTTCAACTTAATCCTCATTAAGTACTGTAACAATGCAGGAAGTAGCTGCTGCAGTCACGATTAGACGGTCTCACTATTTGGCAGGAAATGGCTCCTTTCAGCTGCGTCCAAGACACCTAGAGCGTCCCAAAACTTTTCACTTTATTCTCACTGATCTCCCTTTTGTTTCTATCGTTTCCCGGCAGCGATGGGCACGAGCGAATTTAGGAGGGGGGAAGAAATATGATAATTTGATGAAATTATGTTATTTGTTAAAATGTTTATATAGACAGAAACAATGGATGAGAGGGAGAGGGTCTCCTTTGAATACCGATGTATATGATCGGCTGCATAACCTCGTGTTCGTAATTGAATAAACAAAGACGATTATGTCTGAAATTTCACAATAAGATGTTTCCTGAATGTAAATGAAGACAACTCACTATTTAATTATTATCCAGCCGTGCGTTTACTTTCATGTTACTGCAATTATTCTGTCGAAATCGGTTCTCATATGCCGGATATTTATATTTCAAAGGTCTTTTTAGTTGATATCTCAGCAAAAAGTGCGCATATTAATCTTTCTTCTTTCTTTTTTGTTTATAAATTCGTATCATTTTATTAGCTTTTAAGTGATTTGTTTTGGATTAGATTGGCAAACCTCCAACTGACTGCTCTTCAATAAAAAATAACTATAATAATTATAACAATTAATCCTACATCTTTTGATAAAGGGCAAATTAATGCAATATTAATCAGATTAATTCCTTTTTTAAGTAATGTAATTGCACAGGCTAGTCTGATTTAGCAAACTAGTACAGGCAATTGTAATAAACGATTTTGCTTCAACAAAGGCTAGATCATTTTTGACATAATGTTGATCATTTTTGACATTTAAACTGAACTTTTGAAAACTTGCCAGACCTGTTCTAAAGTGTTTGTATTTGTTGTTTGTATAACTAGTGTAATGGATTACAGGCACCATTTCATAATCACATTACATTGATGTAGTTACATGTAATCAATGTGATAAATAATGGTAAAAGAGTCACTCCTCAACAAGTTGGCTGTTCAATGAGGAGTAAAACTGAAGAGCACAGATAAATATAATGAAAGATCTGTGAATATTCTTTGGCCTGATGGGTTTTTCCCCAGTGTTCGAGCAGCAATCAAAAGGTTTTCTAACTCTTAAATGTGATATGACATACACCACATGCACTCCTGCACTCAACACTTTATTTCCTCTAAACTTTTCTCTGCATGTCATTCACTCATATGACGTTATTTCTTTCATCTCTATAAGCCTGGAACAACCTCTCACACAGCTCCATGTCAGCACTAACCAACTGAATCATGAGGCCTTTTGATGACCTGATCCTCACCTCTCTCAAGCTCTTGATGGCTTTTGCATCTGACTAAAGTTTTGCCAACTCCCCAGTTCAGTTTTTTGTGAAACAATGAAACAATGGCTATTCAAACTCGTCATACTCAATTTTCTAATAACAATACTCAGGATTGTGTCTTTCTTTAGTCTAATCTTTAGTACAGCACAAATAAGACAGGCAACGCCACGCAGAGTGCACATTAGCCCAAGAGTTTCATTTTGGAGAATTTGTGGATGTTAATTAGCAGCAGATGATTAAATTTTCTAGTTATCCTTTCAGCCTGTTTTTGACAACTGCTGACTAAAAGCTTTAACTCCTTCAACTTTTAAAGAAGACAGGCTATTTAAAACCTCTGCACTCATGGTTGAATTACAATTTTGATGTCAAATATATCAAATATTTATGCTTTGCCTTCCATTATGTTTGTTTAAGTTATAGCTCTTTAACTATATATTCGGTAAACTTCACATTTTTTGTTGGCCATTTTTAAATGACTGGTTTAAAGTTTCAGATTTTTGGATGCATTTTCTTTACCTTCACATACATCTATTGGTTTCCATTCATTTCTGTATGCCATAAAAATAATATGCAGATACTTGAAACTTGATTAAGTTGTACAATACTTCACTGTGTGGTGATGCAATGTAAGTGGAGACTGATCTGAAAACTCTGCTCTGCATCGTCGCAACACAATAAAATAACGTTGACATAAATCAATACAGGCGTCACAGTGACAATTTAAGCAAGGATGAAGAATCTGCTCAGATTTTCATAATGTATGGGAAATTAATGAAAACAGAAAGGGAAAAAAATATATTCAAAATATGTTCTGGTATGGTCCTTTCATGTCAGCATTTTTTTTCTTCATTTCAGAACAGCTATGGATGGTGAGATGCAGCATCTGCACCTCTCTGTATTCAGCTTTCTTCTCTTTGCATGAGGTATCTCATAGATGGTGAGTCAAATTTGGGGGTTATGTGTTATGGTTTTTTTTTATTGTGTGTAATGTTGGGATTGTTCATTGTCCTGTCATGAGCACACTGAGACAAATTCCTAACAAAGTTGTATGGCAAAGTATTGCTTATTCATATAGACAATTAAGTCATTCTACCTTTGAATTTTTATTCATAAAAAAGTCATGTGTTGAAGTTCAGCATAGTTAAAATGACAATGGGGAAAATAACAAATCAAACATTCACTTTTATAACATAGTGTAACATGGCAATAAAATAAATGGCATCCATACTGTAGTATTTTATTGCAGCAAATACCAAACTCAGTCGTTTATTTTGAAATAATAAAAACTATGATTACAGAAATCTGTTGAGGGAATGTCAGAACTAAAATGTACCTTTCCTACATTAGTGTGACTAAACTGAAAGTTCTACTAGCTATTAAAAACAATGGCAAAGAACAAATGTATCTGCTATAGTGAAAATCAACATTAAATAAATAAGTTATTTAAATGCAGATTTATTCTGCCATCATCTGGAAGAAATGTGTAAAACAGGAAAAGAGAAAAACTGTAGGGAGAAAAAACAATTATTTCAAAATCCTTACAAGGAAAAGATAAAAATGTAGGTTTCATCATGAAACAACATATGTGCAAACAGGTAACAGTCAGTCTTATCCAGTAGAAATATTACTATTATTACTAGTTTCTTGACTCCAGGCAAAATGTGCACAGCATATAAACATACACCACAGTGAGAGCGAATTAGTGGAAATCAGGCAGCAATTCAATTGAATTGCAATGTAAATAAATTACCCAAATACTTTTTAGATGCATCATAGTCTCAAAACATGTTTAACGTTCACTTTTCTTACCTTCAGAACATTAATACACACTACTGGATGTCAGAAAGCACATGGATGCATTTATATTAAATGGTCAGCTGGTTCCATTGTCTACTAAGTGTAATATACTTACCAGCCGTGATAGCGTGTGGCTGGTAAGTATTTTACCAGCCCCACCTCACACCTTGTGAGTCTGTGTCTGTGTCATCATGGCAAAATGTGTTCCTGTAGACTCTGTGTAACAGGAGCTACCACAGAGGTGGTTGTGAGTACTTTGGCAGGTGTTTTTTTTTTTTTAAATCCGTGTCTCTGTGTTATGAAACGTGTTTTTCACAAAACTTTACAGGTGTGTAGCTGAGATCAAAATAAAGGCTGAGTTTGAATATGGGTGTGGTCTGACCCATGAGTACTGAGTACTCATGTAATAATGTAGCAATAACAACTGAGTACTCAGGGGTCGGAATGTCAACATGTTGACGGGCGTCACAGCTGGTGTGATCCCATCGTTTTAAATTGTCATTGATCTCAGCTCAGCATAATTTGTTCCTCTTCAGTGAATAAACTACACGTGCAGCTCAACCACCAAATAAAGATCAAACATACCACTCCACAAACATTCAGATCATTACAGATATATAGTATACTGTATATCCAAATGTATCCCAACTAGTGCTGTGCATCGGCCAAACAGTGCTTTGAAAAGACACACATTGAGTTCATGCACAACAATAGACCTGAAATGACTGTCTGTCTGGCCGTTCCATGGTTTAAATTTGATCACAATTTATCTTAAAATCTGTGTACTCTCTCTGAATATTTATTTTACTTAATTCCAAACAAAAATACCTCCTCAATGGTCTTGCAGGAAAGAGTTAAGAGATGAACTGAATGCGTGGGAAAGAAAATCTGAATTTTTAAGGAGAAGTTTGACAGTTTCAAAAATATACTTATTTCCTTTCTTTCCAAGAGTTCGCTGAGAAGGTGGATCCCACCCTATACCCGTTTCCCCTTTTCCAGTCTTTATGCTAAGGTAAGTTAGCTGTCTGCTGGCAATATAGATGTTCTGATCCCTTTTTTTCCCTTAACAATACTGATTCTGATACCTGAACTTGAGTATTATCCAATACTGAGTACCGATTCGATGCCAATGCATTAAAAAAAATGTTAACAGCTACGTATATACTACTAACCCTGTGTGAATGTGATATGATTGCTGTCATTGTCTCCGAGCAAAGACATGAATGCCAAAGAATATCTCCATTTACAGTGGACACCACTTATAGTGATCACTGGCTGATTGGCTGAGTAGCATCATGTGACCTGATAAAGGCTAGAAAAGCTGCATCGGTTAAAACAAAAACACTCAGTAAAAATGTAATAATTTTCAATAATTTATAGCTCATAGGTCCAGGTAGGTCACCATCTGGGTCTGAACCTGGACCATGACAGCCTATTAGTGATTGCAGCCAACAGCTAATAGACTGCATAGACTCACATACTCGCCGATTCCCGATCCAGTATATTTAGGCAGTATCTGAGGTATTTCTGATACCAGTATCGGAATCGGAACAACTCTAGCTGGCAGTAGTTTCATATTTACTGTACAGAGTGGTATCAATCGTCTCATCTAACTCTCTGTATGAAAGCAGGTAAGCGTATTTCCCAAAAAGCTGAACTTTTCCTTTAATTTTTCATTTGTTGTATAGCTGGTAAAACAAACAATTTACAACCACTCCAGGTTGTGCCAGTGTAATACAAGTTCACCTTATGTTTTCCAAAAAACTTCAAACACCTCAAATCCGGTCATGATGCCCCAGTTCCCCAAATGAGAGAAGGAATGCAGTGAATGGAAACCTGCCAAATGACACAGCGCAGTATGCCTTCAGTTTTCTAATTGAGTTTTTCTACCTTCCTTTCCTCTTACCCTTCTATCGAGTATTTCTCCTTTTATCTGTTTGTGTTTTTCTCTAATTTTTCCCTGCAGCTGCTCTTCTGTGTCTCCACTTCCCTGTCAGGGTGGTTGTTCTCAGAGCAGGCTGGCCAGGCTGGTTGTCGGTCCATTCTGAGGCTGAAACTGCCCAGGAGGGAGGCCGTCTGTCCACTGCAACACAACATATTACAGCATTACTCTCTATGAAAATGCAAGCAGGTTGGATAGACTCATTGTTTATAGACTAGCTGACTGATATTGTGCTTACACTGATGAGGTTGTGTTCAGGGAGGCTGCAGGCTGCAATGTGGTCCTGCAGGAGCTGCTGAGAAAAGTTCTGGTGCATCTGAGCTGCCTCATGGGCATCCATGGTGTTTCCACAAGCCTTGTTCAGATCTGCTGGAGAAAAGAGAGGGTGAATACATTTCTATGTTTGATGATTCTGGATCCTAGCGTCATGTCCACCCTTAAATATTCATAGATGTATAAAGTTATTGTAGTGTGATGTGTGTTTCCACTTCTAATTCAGTTGTGGCTTCATTACTCTGTTGTGTCATGATATTACAACTAGATGAGAAATCTATGCTTATGATATGAGATCTCTCCCAATGTGATTGCTGAATATTGTTGCACAATGGTTAGTACGACAAGAAACCGCTTTCCTCTTGCGCCCCCATCTGGCCAAGATATAAATTTATCTCCTAGAAGGCAGATGGCAATGAAATCTGTGAATTTCCCCCCTGGGATCAATTAATTATTATGTAATTAACAGTTCTGCTGGCACGGGCTGCCAGTAAGGTTTTGGACTTTCTTGTCTTTACATATTTTGGGTAAATATTTCATGTAACTTAATAAAACACACCATAAACCTCAGTGTGAGTTAAGGCTGAGTGACAGCTGTACCTTTGAGAAGTGCAGAGGACCACAGCTGCACAGACATGTCTGGGATCTTGCTGGCGAGCTGCATGGCAGGAACCACCATATTGTTACTTTCCTGGAGAAAACATGGAACCAGACAAATAGTCAAGATTACATCTACAGTCCTAAGACACCAGTACAACTGTGTGTGGTCTGATGGATAATTAGTAATAGTGATTTGTGGACTCACCCTGTGGTTGCCCAGGACAAAAAAGATGTGGCCCAGTAGGACAAGCGAACAAGCAGTCAGCCTATTCAGATCCTCAGCATTAGACATCTTCAGGGTCTCCCTTAGAAATCTTCTGTTGATGCAAGTTAAAATAAACTTAGTGCAGAACACCATTACTTAATGTAAAGTTTATATTGCTCATAGGCAGAAGCTTTCCTTACTTGGCCTCATTGTAACGTCCCTGGAAGAAAGACAGGAGCCCTCTGATGTAAAACGCTGCAGCCCGTAGACAATGAGAGCTGAGGAAGTCAAAGTTACACTATTTAAAAATTCTCCAAAAAAACATGTAACTTATATGATGTGGTATTGTCTCTATAGATACCTGACAGGGAAGTTGTGATCAGGGTTAATCCTCTCTAGAAGGCTGTACAGCTGTTGATTCAAAAAAAGTAAGTTAGAATCAAAGTAAAGAAGAAGAAGGACAAAAAAAAAGAAAAAGTATATATATATATACACACACACACACACACACACACACACACACACACACACACACATTTGTAAATGTTACTGCTGGGGGAAGGAAATAGCTTTCTGACCTCTTGATGTCTGTTGCCTTCCCGGATGTAGACGCTGGCCAGGTTGGTCACAATGAACGTCCACAGTTCCTGGTGTGTTGTCATCTAACAGAAAAAAAAACAAAAAAACGAAGAGACACTGACAACATTGAGTCATCTGAGCCTCACACAGCCAAGGGTTTTATACCCCCAAACTATTCCTTTTTGAAATGTCAAAAAGTGTTACACGATCTGCTGTCACATGATCACCTTGTTTCTTCAACAACAGACAGAGGCAACAGTGACGATATGAAACTCACCTGTAGAGCAGCAGTGAACTGAGCCTCAGCGTTATCCATGCAGTTCACCGAGATACAGTAGAGGCCCTGACACAGAAAAAGAGGAGACAGTAGGTTCGTATTATCCTGGACAGATGCATCTTGTCAGCAGTTAGCTGTTCTACTTTCCTCTGCAACCAAGGCACTTTAACAAAACCATAAATGAGAAAAAGGGAAATTCAAACACGTTAGCAGAATTCTGCTACATATTTAAGTGGATACGAGACATTATTGACCTATAGGCTACTACAGAAAAATGTGCTGTTGCCATTCGTACAGCTGTATCTTGTCTCATTTGTTTTTTATCATAAGACAGTTTGATTTTCCTTTTCTGTTGCAGTGTGTATTGTCTTTTCTTGAAGACTTACCAGCAGCGTATGAAGCTGAGCAGCATGATTTGTAAATAACCTGGGAGACAGCTGGCAAAGCTGACAAACCTGAGAAATCTAAACAGACAAAGACCCTCACAATCTTGAACAAGACAGACAACCTGCAGGGGAAACTGCATTTACAGAATCTATGCAGAACAGAATTTCCTTCACAGCTGATGACTCACCTCTTGTAAAGCTGTGGCCTTGTGTCCAGTGACGAGTCGGCACATGATGATATGCTCCAGCAGGATGACTTGGAACGTGGATAGGATGGGACTGCTGTCCAGCACTTTGAAAACATTCAGATGGACCGGAGTTGAGTCAACATCACCGACATCGAGGGGGAAATCATCAGTGAGAGTATTCCATCAAACTTACTCTTCAGCTTCTCCAGCTGCATGAGAGCTTTGTCTGTGTACTTCTGTGCCTTCTCCAAGTAGCCCGCCTGCATGGAGTGCATCACTGTCACCTTTTAGTATATAAAAAAAAAAAAACATCCTGTTTTATCCTGTTGCAGATGCACAACACAAAACATGAAGTTCTTTTCAGAATGTACACGTGACAAAATCTCACCAGGTACACAAGCACACACATATGCTCTTTGGGCAGCCAGTGGAAGAGAGCTGCTGGATTAGTGGGAAGGATCTCATCATCATGGAGAGTGGAGATGGTCTGGATACACTGCTGAAGCTGCTTCAGACACGGCTTCACACTCTTTACCTAAATCCAACGTATAGATAAATACGTGCCTGGCAATGGCATGATGGTAGCTGCCAATAATGAGACATGGGGATACAGCTGTACCTGTCCAGCATCCAGGTAGTGTGTAACCTGCAGCACGAGGAAGAAAACTCTGAGGGACTCCTTCTGAATGGGGTTTCCCTGCCAGTTCTCCACGATGGTCCCACACAGCGTCAGCAGAGGGTGCACCTCGCTCAGCTTCCGCTCCATCAGCAGCAGCTACAGAGTCACAGATGCAAATGCATTTTACAGAATTGCATGTTATGAAAACAACACAAGTAAAATGTTAGGTGCCTTTAATTAGTAGAGTATTATTACACTTACCATTCCTTTACTTAATAAGAACAGCGCTCTGTAGAGAAAGATAAGGAAAAAGTTAATGTGAGAAAATGAGCATTAAATGACAGGTAAAAAAAAAAAACACCCCAGTGTGATCTTTTTACCGTGTGTACTCTGATCCCATGACTCTTGCATACTCTGCTCCAACTCCAAGGAGGTCACAGGCAGATACCAAGTCCTTCTCTAGAGCGTGTAATTGCTTAGAAAGAAAAAACATCCCACACACAAATGCTTTAAAATCAATTTACTAAATATGAATAACTTTGTAATGCATAATGCATTTTCTTACTGCCAGCTGAAAAAGCAGTCTGCAGTGCCAGTAGGGAGTTTGCTGAGAGATCTGGATGGCCTTCCGCAACACCGGTTTGGCCGAGTCCACCAGGTTCTTGAAAACAGAAGGCAATAGGTGAGTTTCGGAGACTGAGCACAACAACCAAGCAACCTCTGCTACAGAAAATACATTATTTTACTCTTGCATTTATGTTATAGCCTAATAAGTATGTTAACCTGGTGAAACATAGTAAAGTTTCCCGAATCACTACTTCATGTGGACTGGATGCACCTACCTGTTGACAGTAGAACTCTGATAGAATACTTGCTGCTTCAAACTTGACATCTTCAAATTGAGAAATCTGACATAAATCATTAAGGAGTATTTTTCCCTCCCCATTACAAGCACACACCTTGCGTCAATATGCAACCTCATATCATTCGGAAAAAGGATACTTGTTGTGATATGAACCACTGTGGAGAAAATAAGACAAATAAATATTAGAGTCAGTATCACACCGAGCATCGATTTTGACAGTGAGCTGGTGCAATGGATGAAAAAAAAGCATTACACACTGGACGTGTTTCAAATGTTTATCCTTTTCAGTGATTCACTGTACCACAGCCCGGTGTCAGACGCTGTGGCTGCTGCTCACCGCTTTCTCCAGGTGAGTCTGAGCCAGCTCGCTGTTTTTTGTGTGGCGGTACAGCACCGAGCCCAGCTGCAGGTGAGTCCGGGCCTCGACCCTCGGAGGCGGTTTGAACTGAAACACCGCCTGCAGACAGTGGACGCACAGACGGATCTTCGGTGGACTCGACGTGCGGAAATGTTCTGCAAAGCCCAGCAAAGCCAGGTACCAGGGCTCCGGGGCCTCTGTGCTCGCTGCCATCTTGAGTTGTCTGAAGACAAAGCAATAACAAAAGATCCTGGTTTACCGCTGGACCGACGTCCGCCGAATCCGGTCCTCAGCTACTGCTACCCTCTCTTGTTTTCTGCCTCAGTCATTTGCATGAATCTGAGTACTAGCGCCAAGCTAGCCAGGGCAAGAATAACTTCCGCTTATTATTTTCAAATTAAGACCACGTGTGTAACATTTAGACAAACATAATATACATTTTTATGTAATTCCGGTAATTGATGTCACATGGCAGCAACAACAGTGAAATATTTACGACTACCTATCCCGAAAAACGCAATTTCACGGTGAAAATCCTCTTGAGTCACGAGTTCACCACTGGAATATTATAAATGAATGGAATACCTCCTTTACTTTGAAGGGAAAGTAAAAGTGCACTTTTCACTTAAAAGTGCCCGGATATCTTCCATTTAACCAACATTAACGGAGCGGGGCCCTCTTCTTAACAAGAAACATATAAACTAGCCTACTCAATTTGCATTCCTTAAGTTATGAAATCGTTGTCTCGGGTAAAACTTTTGGAACTTGTGGAACTAATCTTTTGCAGTCTATGTTTCGATGAGGCAAATGTATGAGTGGGACCTTTTGCGGAATTTGATATTCATTTAAATTATTCCGCAACATTCACGCCCCACGCCCTTTGGTGGGAGCTGCAAGTAGTGTGCACGACCTACTACGTAAAGTGCGTAAATCAACAGAGGTGGTCGGTTCTTCATTCATAACAGTGGAGCAGGCGGTCTGTCACTGATCGGTGGTATCAGTTAAGTGATTTGACTTTTACAACGATATTTTGTCTTATGTGGGAACAATCCTGCAGCAGAAAAGCTATTCTTAACGGAAGCTTTGTACATTTCAACAGCCATAGTTGGCAACAGGAGAAGTAACACAACATGTATTAGCTAGCTATAGCCGGCATTAGCTGTCTCCGGTAGATGTTCCTCATCTTTTGACAACAGCTTTATCTCGCTTCATTTCAGAGTACAAAATTACGAGGCAAGATGTCGAAACGGAGGATCACACAGGAAACGTTTGATGCTGCTGTCAGGGAAAACATGGAGGAATTTGAGATGGATCCTGACGAGGCTTTGAGGGAGGCTGTGGAGCAGTTTGAGTCTCAAGGTAAATTTCACAGAAATTACTTGATATTTACTGTATAATGGTGAAGCCAAGCAAGGTATGATCTATGTACATTTCAGAATCAGCATGATAGGGGTGAAACATACAAACGGTTAAATATCAGTATATCCAACTATGCTTTGCACTAGAAGTAAAGTCACTGATGGCCAGAATGCAGATACCTGAGTTGCTAAAACCTGCTAAAATATTTATCATGGCAGAGAAATTGTCTCTAGTGACACTGACTGGAGTCATGAGGTCTGTTGCTTAATGTCCATATTGGGATAATATCCAGGAAATATGTGACCATTTTACAAAATATGTTTTTGCAGTGTTACAATTTATAATTTTCTCATATTCCAAAATGACAACAGTTTCATGTATACTTAGATTAATTAAACAACATGGCCTATCAGACATCTCTGTACCTTTATGTGGAGTTTAAAAGGATAAAGTATTAAATAGTAGCATTCTAGCTCCTGCATTCCCTAATAAACTTGAGGCTTCTGTCTTGAATAGTGGTCCAGTAAACCACACACAAAGTTAGACTGCAGTAAAACCCTTCTTGGTTAGTTGATGTTCTTACATTGTGACTTGGATACAGGTGTGGACCTCACTTGTATAGTAAAAGCTGTACCAGCTGCATCAGCCGATGAGAAACAAGAAGAGCAAACACATGAGGTCTTACAGGTAAGTCCTGGCCTGCTATGTGAAAAGGAACTGTTTACTTCCAAAGTATCTGTTGTCAAAATCCCGCTCTGTGTTCCCCTACTTTTTCACTTGCAGGCTTTGGATTCTCTCCGAATTGGGAAAGACATAAAAGACATAAAATGCTTCACTGAACAGTGCTCACTTGGATTTGCCCAGAGGTACCTGGCTGCCCAAAAAGATGCCTACCCCATTATCCTCTCCTACTGCAAAAAGAGTGTGGAGGAGCAGGAAGCTGTGTTGGCCGCTCTGTCTGCTCTGGCTGCACTGACAGATGGACAGCCAGACTTGTTGGATGCGGAGGGTCAGCAGTTCCTTTTGGATGTCCTTAATAAGTACCAGGCAGATTCTTCTGTGACACGCGTGGCCATCTGCGCTGTACGTCACTGCTGTTTGAAACATGAACAGAACAGGCAGGATTTGGTAAAAGGTGGAGTCCTGCCCCTGCTGACCACTTCCATTACACGACATAGTGGATGTGAAGAGCTGGTGAAGGAGGCCTCTGCAGCTCTCAGGGTCATGACCTTTGATGATGATGTCCGAGTTACATTTGGGCATGCTCACGAACACGCCAAGATGATTGTTCTCGAGCACAATGGACTGAAGGTCTTAATTGAGGCCGCGAAAGGTAAGGCACACTGGTTCATTTGGGGGTTTATCGTAATAGCTTGTTATTTCTAAATCAGATTTTAATCGCATGAATGTAATTTGTTTGTTTCTCATGTTCTGCCCTCACAGCTCACCTTGATAATATTTCTGTTCTGAGTGAGCTCTGTGCAACTTTGTCCCGTCTGGCTGTGAGAAACGAGTTCTGTCAAGACATCTGTGATCTGGGAGGATTAAAACTCATAATGACGTTGCTTGCAGATTGCTATGAGACAGCGGTAGTGTACAAAAAACAAGAGTGTGATACAAAGTGATTCAAGATTCAACTTACGTGTTTGTTCTGCTCACTGAACTGGTTTTCCTCTTCCAGGAGTTGGTTCGGCAGGTCCTTAGTGCAATACGAGCCATAGCAGGAAATGATGATGTGAAAGATGCTGTTGTTAACACTGGTGGAGTCCAGCTCATTGTCATCGCCATGAACAGACACATGAGCAACTCTGCTGTGAGTTAAATGTCATACTTATGGATTTGATCGAGACTTCACAGCAGATTTAGTGAAGACACTTTTATCATATGTTGTTTTTTGTTGTGTGAAACTAAATTGAAGTTGTAAATAAATTCTACAAATGTCTTAAGATTGTGTTCATGTTCTGCTGTAGGTGTGTGAGCACGGCTGTGCGTGCCTCTCTGTCCTTGCTTTGCGTAAACCCAACAACTGCAAAGTCATCATGGATAATGGGGGTGCCTTGGCTGCCGTGCAGGCAATGAAGGCACATACTGATGCGGTCAATGTGCAGGTAATATGAGGTCATTAAAAATTAATATGCTCAACTGAAAAAAACAGGCCCTGTGACAGCGTGCCAACTCTGTATGTCTTTGTTTTCTGTCTTTATGAACAGAAACAAGGGTGTATGCTGTTGAGAAACCTGGTTGCACGTATGCGCAATTACAGCCAACCAATCCTGGACATGGGAGCAGAGGCCCTGATAGCCCAGGCACTAAAGACCCACCAAGACTGTGGTGATGTGGGTAAAGCCGCCCTCAGAGATCTGGGATGCCAGGTGGAGCTTCGAGAGCTGTGGACTGGCAAACATGGCAGCCTCACCCACTGAAAGTATGAGAGCATCACTTAAGACCATACACTCACACAATGAGTTTGTGTGCTATTTTAGGGGACATAAAACTTTAGGATGTTGGTATAGACAGTATTAAGGCAGATGCACCTCCCTAGCTAGACATATTTGTACAGAGTAGTTAATGTAGAGAAGACTTGTGAACAGTGCAAACAACCAAGCCACCAGTCTCATACAATACCCTTAAGAGGTTGAATAAATTTTCCAGTCCTTTTTCTGTTTTTAACAAACATAAAAGGTCATTAAAGTCCCCTTGTATATGTTTTATTTGCTATTAATATTTTGTTTACAAATTAATTTTTGATGTCCAATTTTATATCTGTTCTTGAGATGTTAAATGTAAATTCGTGAGTTTGGTGCCATGGGTCAATACAAATGTATTTGCTGTATTGCAAATAGTTAAACTGCAGTTTTGTGCAGTTTCCTTTCCTGTGTTGGCAGAGCCACATTTTAACATGCATTGAATGCCTTATATGTCAACTAGAAGGAATCGTTTCTGATTTTGTTTTTAGTTTGTTATGCATTATGACAGTGTAAAACTGAAATCTCTGTAGACCTACCACTGCTGACAGTATATATTCTGCATGACTATGATAAAACTCACTTTGGTGTGTCAGCTTTATCTTGCTGTGTGACTGTTTACAGTGTATTTGTTGAACCTGAAGCATTTTTTTTTAAACTTCCAGTGTACTTTTTGAGTTATTTATGGATATACAAAATATCTCATGCAAGGATTAGCATTATAAAGTGAAAACATGCCCCAAAGATGTAAAAGATAGACATAAAACATGTGAGTTAACAATAAACAATAATCTCTCAACCAAAACTACTTTGCACACTAAACAAAAAAGTTACCCCCCACATCACTAGGTACTTATGGGGAAACTATAGAAAGCTAACTCATTGCCAAGCGTGTCTCGTGCTCACGCCCCTCTAACCGACCTATCCAGGCACGCCTCACTCAGACTTCATCTCCCACAATGCCACTGCGCTCGTCCTTGTCAAACCTCACTGTGGTCATGCTAACGTTAACCGCCTCAGGTCGCTGACAGGAGTAGTAACGGCAGAACTACAACAGCACGCACGATGTCATTCACTTGATGCCACTGCTGGGCTAATGCAACTCAGACACTTCTGGAAGAGAGTACTTTTAACACCAGGAGACGTTTTTATGAAGACGCAAAGTAAATGTTAATTTTTCCACAACGAGAGTAACGATAACGTTAGTGTAGCGGTAAGCTAACAGCTAGCTAACGTTACTTAACCTGGTATTCGGCTAACTTAGAAACAGCTTTGGAAGAGCCTGCTAACGAACTGAAATAACACTCCGAGAGAGCGATATAGCTTCAGAAAATGAGAATTCTTCGTGCTGGTCTCAGGTTTGTAAGGTAAGAAATGTAGTGTTTATAACCAGTGACAGATAGCTGGCTGCAAAGGGTGGCTGTGTTTTGTTGGTGGGCAAGTTTCGAAAGCCTGGTGGGTGCAACAGCCACTCAGAAATAACCGTGGTGATCATTTTTATCAATGATGAATATGTTATTTTTTAATTATACTGCTGAATTGTAACCGTACCCTGTTTATGGCTATGGAGTGTCCAGTGGTAACAAATGATTTGACTAATAATAATGTTACATGGCAAGGAGAGTAGTAGCATATGGGATACAAAGCTGTTACAAAACTATCACCTAACATGGCAAAAAAGTCAAAATACCAAGAGGTAGACAAAAAAACACCAACACTATAACATAATGCTTCCCTTTAGAGCAACATTACAAACTCAGAATTCTGAACAAATTTACAGAGCTGAAATAATTAGTCGATTTTGTTATAGAAAATTGATAGAAAATGAATTGCCAGCAGTTGTATGAATCGATTAATCACCAAGTCATTTATATAGCATAAATGTAGATTTGCTACCTCTCTCTATCTTATGTAATGGTAAATTGAATATCTGTGGATTTTTGACTGTTAATGAAATGCAGTAATTGATGAAATAATTGTTAGTGGCAGCCCTACAAATCCATTATAAGCTTCACAAAGCATTAGCATTTTTTGTGTGGTGGTTCAATTGGAATGAATTGTTTTAATTATGTTGTCCTTCCTGTGTCTTCACACACAGTTACTACACAGTTTAAGGCAGTTATTGTTATCTTGGCACATTCTGAAATGTCTCAAATGACTAATTATTGATACACTGATATTTTACTAATGACCATTAGATAACCCAGCTGAAAGGACAAGTTGGTCACAGAAGTTTCACACAAAAGCAGTTCAGCAAACAACAAGACACTGTGTGTGTTAACACTAGTAACCCCAAGGGACAGCTCTATCTCTCCATTCCTGTGTGTGTAGCAGGGGAGGGAGGTGTTGAATAAGTGAGGTAACCAAACAGACATAGCTAGCAATCAGGAACAAGGAACTGTAAAATGATATGCATGGAGAAGGAGGCTATAGTCAGGGGTAAAGTAAGGACAGTGGGTGAGGTGAAAAGGGACACATCAAGTGCTCATTTGATGATTTGGCTTGAAGCCCTGTTGTACTGATGCCAACATTAGTTGCCCATGACTACCCGGCTTTTCAGCAAACCCTCTATTTGCTCTCTTGTCCCTTGGCCTTCTCTCTCCATCTTGTTTTGCTTTATTTTCCTCACTGCTGCTAAACTCCTTGAACTCTGATGTTTCTAGTGGATCTTTTCCATCTATTTAACAAATGTTCATTTGTTACTAGTTACTAGTTTTTAAGCTGGATCAGAACTATATTTAGTGAAATATACATGGCATCTCCTCATGGCTGCACACCTAATCATTTCACCTTTATTCACATTATCACATTTTCACAAACATATGTGATACAAAGCAATGTGTATTTATTATGTTATTATTATGTTAGTTAAGATTGTAGCCTGTATATTTGATACAATACACTTTTTTATGATATCACATTCATGACAGTTCACAGGATTATAATTTGTTTTTATATTAAATATACCAAAATATTTTTTCTAGAGCAGCAACAACAAAGTTGTTTTATAAACTCAATATCTCCCTGGAAACAAATCTAAACCCTAAATAACATAAATAATGGTCCTGGTGACACTGACTGAAGAGTAAAAACATGTAGAACATCAGTTGTGTAGATTGTATGCATGTTAAAAAATGATATCAAAAGTTAATAGTATGTTAATCAGTTCTGAAAATTATTGAAGCTCTACAAAAATACACATGCCAACTTTAATGCCAACATTTCCTGCTATTCACATTTACATATTTCACAACTTTGTAATTGTGACTGTGATTTAAAGCAAGGTTGGTTTGAACAATGTACAATTGTACAGTGTACATTTTATTTTCCAGTATTTAACAATGGACCAGAGAGCCTATGGGGGTTGAAGGTTGCATGAATAGGTGATTTGTCTGGTAAAATGATTAGCTCATTGAAAAAAATGCCATGTCATCTTTGTTGGTAAGGGTAGTGAGACCGGCCCAGATAATGTTCTTTAAAGTTGATCTCCTGTTAGTTTTCATTGAATAGATCAGAAAGAGTGTCCTGCTTGTACAACAATGTGGTAATACTGTAATCTGGTATGTTAAGGGAGGGACTTCAGTGATCTTGTCCTGCAAGAGATTGGGTGTAACTTACACTAGCTCTGCTTTGCTTGTTTTTTTTTTTATAGCTTTCATTGGTGTGGTAGTTGGTTAAAGTTAACTTGATTGTTGTTTGGGTGTTCTTATTCTTTATTCTTATCCTCTAAGTTTCTTATTTAAAGATAACTACTCTGTAAGTCATCACTTGCTGACATGACACTGGTTAAGTGAGCACAGAATTACAAAGAATTTACTAAACTAAAACAGATTTCTGTGCTAGCAGTTTATACAAGGCTAGACTTGAATATCTTGGTACGTATGACCTCATGATGAAGCTACTAATGAATGCAAAATCAAATTATCATAATTTGTTGATAATGCTTGAAACTTATCATATCCAGAGTCATGCTTGTCACTAGAACTTGATGTAGTTCCCTGAAAGTAACAAGAGTCGAAAGGTAGCCATTTAAATGTCTGACTAAGCTTAAAATTTTACCTATAAGTGACCTTTTGTTTCTCTTTCTGCCCTCTTCTTCTCTCCTCTGTAGCTCTTAGCGCCTGGTGTTGCTGCCCCTCCAGTGGTTGAATTCATGAGCACGCTCAGTGACAGCTGTGCGTAGTGCTCTGGGATGGGGAGTGGAGTCCAGGAACAACGAGCATCACTCACGCAGGGAGAAGTGCTGCCGCTGCCTTCCTCCAGTCAGTCAGAAGTGAGCTATGAGGTGACATTTTATAGACATGAGCCTTCCTTCAACACTTCAAGGAAAATCCACCTGATAAAAAAGTCCATGGGTTAATTTATGTAATTTTTTGTATTGCAGCTCATTTTTAATCTGTGAATTTGAATCATTTATCTTATTTAGACACAACTCCAAGAACACCAGAGCAGTCATTGTGATGTTCCAGTTTGTGTCTAGTCAGTGTCTGTGTTTTATCTGTGTGCTGTCTATTTAAAGGGATTTCAGCTGTGCTGTTAAACCATGTATGCTTTGTATCCTTTGCTAGTTGCACCGCTGTATTGTGTGTGCAAGAGATTAACTGAGCTAAATTCAGTAGCTTCATGGCCTCCTCTTTGGCTTTGGTTCATTTAAGGACATCTGCTCCTATTTGTGAGGTTTGTAAACTGGACAGTGAGTTGTCATCTATTATCATTACGTAACTCTGGCTTAATGATCAACAGCATCTCAAACACAATATTGTTCACGTAAGGACGCAGTTTTTACAGGAGTCACTCTGTTGGTGTTAAATGCAATTCCTCCATCTCTGTGCAGGGCCTAAAGCACACTCGCTCTGTCCTCAACTCGCTCTTCTCGGGCGCTTTAGCGGGAGCTGTGGCCAAGACAGCTGTCGCCCCATTGGACAGGACTAAAATCATCTTCCAAGGCAAGTTGGGTGCTCGGCTCACGTAAAACAGTTTTTAAGATTACAAATCACCCAAATTGACGACACAGAATTATTTCTTGACTCTGTTATATTTTAACTACACTGCTACTGTTAGCACAATCTGAATGCTAGAAAATGTGTGTGGTTTTTCTGAAATGAGAGTAAGTGGACTGATAAAGAACACTGTATGCTTGTCATTTATACTGTATATGTGTTCTGTTTTTCAGTGTCTTCAGCACGATTCTCTGCCAAGGTGGGTTTGTCTTAAAGAGCATTTTACATTTCATGTACATTTTTATTTTGCTTGATAAAACATAAATAAATTACCTGCTTCTTATTCACATACAAGAAGTTAATTCACATCCACTGCAGTTGATATAGTTTTTTATTTCAAGTTTGATTTACTGATAAAAAGAACATGCATACACTTAGAGTCATGCAATTTACTGTACAGGCATTAACATTAGTTTTCAGACTGACCTCCAAAGAATATCAGAGGAACAAGTTAAAGACAAAAATAGATTATCATCAATTCAAACTAGGTATGAGTATGTATTGTATTTGTGTACATTGTAATACAGGAGGCCTACAGGTTGATCTACCGCACCTACCTGAAGGATGGCTTCTTCAGCCTGTGGAGGGGGAACTCTGCGACGATGGTGCGAGTCATTCCATACGCAGCCATCCAGTTCTGTGCGCATGAGCAGTACAAGAGGCTGCTGGGAGGTTATTATGGCTTTCAGGGGAAGTAAGTGTTAGTTTGTACTGGTAGACATTTATGAACTTTTATGTTGACACCCAACTTAAGATTTTCTTCATGTCTCATAAACTTAAATACTGATGTACATTTGTTTTCCTCTGTTGTTTCAGAGCCCTGCCTCCATTACCAAGGTTACTGGCTGGATCTATGGCAGGTACCACGGCAGCTATGCTGACCTATCCTCTGGACATGGTGCGAGCCAGGATGGCCGTAACACCAAAGGAAATGTAAGTATCTCTAACTGCTAAAATACATAATCAGTGAATATTAAGCACTGACAATAGCCAAAGAGCACAGGGGGTTGCAATGGTATCAGTGTCTTGCTACAAGGTTCAGGTTTAGGATGATATCTGAGACATTTTGAAAGCATATCAAAAAGCCATGATACCACACAACATAAAGTGTTTTTCTATGAGATCTCATATCTGTCATGAATTATGCTGTTGTCACTGACAATGTGACAATGTCTTTAGTTCATTTATAAAGACTTGACAGGTGGTTTTACAGTTTGACAGTCAGAAAAACATAACTGAAGTAGGTGAAGCCACCAGGCAAAATTTGTTTGTATAGCACATTGTCATACACAGAAGTCAAGTTTTCTTAGTCAGGTGCTGCAGTTGCTCTCCTCTGGCTGCAGCAGCTGGGAACCACCTCTTGGACGACATTTGCACTAATTGGCTTAAGGCTTCACCGATACGCACGTTTTTATTCTAAGAAATTCTGATACTTTATCTCCCATGGTTATTTCTCCCAAAGATTGGCAAATTTATTTGATCTGCTCCTTGTGGGAGCTCATTTTTTTTAGATATGGGCACCAACACTATAATTATCATTTCCAGGTAGAAAGCTGTAAAAACTGTTTAGCTCAGGAGTTATTGTAAAAGAAGTAATGCTCTTATCACTCACTTTATTTTATATTTAACTGAAATACTGATTATGTTTGCATTGTAGCATGGAGTATATTATACAACTTGATGTATTTTTCTTGTTATACAGTCACATTTTGAAGTTTCTGTATAAATTCTAATTGAGTGTGTAGGACACTTAGTTCTATTTTTCAACTCTGTTTGAACTCAAAGTTTTTCAAATTGTGTCATTTTGAGTGACTCGTAAGGTTATATCAGTTTAGATAAACACATCAAAATTAAGATAGTTCTCTTATATTGCCAATAGAGTGAAAAGAGGAAGAATCAGTAGTAGGAGTATCCCTTTTAATTTTGTTATACTGTAACATAATTTCATCACTCTACAAAAACAACAACAAAAAGAAATAGTGATATGAATTTTTATGTCATATCACCCACCCATATTGACCTTGGTGCAGATTCAGTCATAATCAATGAGTAAGGAAAGAAAGTAGGTCTATGGATGGGTGTTTTTTTTTTTTTTTTTTTGTTCACATTGTAACTCAGATACCAGAATACAATAATGAACAGGAGTCTTTTGCTACACCTCATCCAGTTTCATCCAGCTTACATTTTTTATATTTTGTGTTCCGTTTCTCTGTTTTAGGTATAGTAACATTCTGCATGTGTTTGTGCGGATCTCTCGAGAAGAGGGCCTGAAGACATTGTATCGAGGTTTTACTCCCACCATGCTGGGTGTTATTCCCTATGCTGGTCTCAGCTTCTTTACCTATGAGACACTGAAGAAATTACATGCAGGTAATTTATCTACAACCCCTTTCTGTCACACCTAATGTTTATGTTGTGTATGTGAAATATTTATTCACTGAATTGGACCTCTTTACATCCTCCTCTCCCATGTAGAGCGCAGTGGGCGCCCACAGCCCTACTCATATGAACGTCTGGCATTTGGAGCCTGTGCAGGTCTCATTGGCCAATCAGCATCTTATCCTCTAGATGTGGTACGGCGGCGTATGCAGACTGCAGGAGTGACAGGTCACACGTACGGCACCATCCTGGGCACCATGAAGGAGATCGTGTCTGAGGAGGGGGTCATCCGTGGACTCTACAAAGGTCTCAGTATGAACTGGGTTAAAGGGCCTATTGCGGTGGGCATCAGCTTCACCACCTTTGACCTTACTCAGATCCTCCTGAGGAAGCTGCATCAGATGGGCTATACAGCTCGATAATAGTGATTCAGAGTGGAAAACGGGGAGAGCACAAGATCCCCATAAGCCCTCTTATGAGAAACAAGGAGGGAAAAGTGAGAGAGAGTAAAGAGTGTGTATCGCTGGACAGAAGCAAATGCACACTGGCTCAGGATGCGTGGGTAATATTAATGTATTCTCTCGCTTTATCTGTGTGCAACAAGGGATGTACACTCCCTGTAGGTACAAAGTAGGGTGTAGGGTGGTAACGTGTACCTCTACACGCTGTTGTCATGTACATCTAAGTGCAATATGCTCAGTGGTTTTATGTGTGTAGCCTATGTGTGTACACATAGATTATATTGCTCCTGCCCTGGTGGACCAGGCCTGTGAGTGTATTTATCAATCAAAGAGTTCAGAGGTTCACACACACTGACATCTCTCAGCTGCCTTGTGTGTCTGCTTAAAACTGACACCTTCAAATGCAATGCAGGATGCCACTCATCTGTTATGGACTTTTAAGATGCATTTGATTTGATCAGAGTAAAGTATGCCCCCTTGAGATTTGTTTTGATGTGAGTGAGTTTGTTTAAGGAATTATACCAAAGGTTAGGATGTGAGATAGCTTCAGATTATATGGTGTTAGTGGTGTTATAAACAATCTTGCCCAGCACAGAGGTAACAGCATCTTTACTGCCACTGAATAGTTTTTGTTTGAGTTGAAAATATCGAAATCTCTTTGAGTCCAGTATTTTTAAGTGGAGCTCCTGAACATTGAATTCACAGACTGTTATTTGGAATTAAGCTATTGTGCTGACAGCAGACAGATGATCTATATTTTATGCCAGTGCCAACAGATATAAAGTTTTAAGAGTGCCCATATTATTTTATGTTTGTTTTCACTGTAATCATATCATGGGCTTTTTAAAATATTGTAAATTTTGATAGTCAAATCTGTTGTCTGATGTATCAATACAGGTGATTAGACAGATTTAAAAAAATACCAGCTGAAAATCTCACCTACAGTTTAACCTCATACTGACATGCAGTGTCAAGTAATGCACATCAAACACTTTGATAGGTAATTTTCCAAATGTGTGATCATAGACACTGATTTAACAGTTTAGAAGGAACACCTGTACAGTCTAATGCAATCCAATACAACAGCCCTGCAGTGAGTATTACCTTTGTAAAGTTTACAATGCCCCTTGTCATTGACACTGTGTGTGTGAGAGGTGTTGCTTTAAATCTATGGCATTTTTAATGATATTGTTTTGGATTACAATATATTGACAGGTGTTTCTAATATTGTCACCCTCATGTATGTGTCACTGGTAATGAAAACACAGAGTCCCATACACACTATACAAATGTTGTCTTCCATGTGCTGTCAGTGTGGCAGCTGCAGGATCTGTCTCTTGGTGATTTTGCTGCCATTCATGCCCGTTTTCTTTAAAACTTGGCAAGACACTAGTTTTGATTTTGACAGGTCATTGAAATAATTTACAAACTTCTGGTTGGGGTGGACTCACAATGAAGATCTTTATTAGTATTTACTAATGGACTAACTTGACTGGAAATGTGCACACACCTAGTGAAGTGATCATTTGACTTCTCTGTTACAGGCAGCATTGAGTTCATTTTAGCATTCTCAGTATTGTACTTTACCTCAGCATGTAATCAATAGTTCATGAAATTCTCACATATCAATGTGTTATGTGGAGTATTGTCAAAAATGGGACTTTGTGCTCAGTTTTTATTTGACCATATGTGCGACAGTTTCAACAGTGTTGATGCAGGCTTGCAGCCATTGAGGAGTGTCAATAGTTTGTATACTTAGACCATACATACCATACATACTGTTTCTATACTTAGACCATACATACCGAGGATGCAGAGCCAAGTGGAGCAGAGGGCAGGAAGTGTCTCCTTCACCAGAATAAAAGCAGGAAACAAACAAGTGTGATGATTTAAACTGAAACTCAATAGTGTTTTGTATTTTTTAATGCATGATTCATACACAATTGTTTAAGACTCTACTGGGGCTGCACAAATGATTATTTTTTATTATTGATTAATCTTGAAATTATTTGAATAATCACCAGACAAATGCCCATAATAGTGACTAGAGCCCAGAGTGATGCCTTAACATTGCTTAAGTCTTCTGACCAGCATACAAACGCCCAAAAATATGATTTTTTTTTTCATGTTGTGAAAGAGAAAAGCAACCCTTTGCGAATCTTTAATCAGCAAATATTGTGTGTTTTCACTGTTTTAAAAGTTCAGTAACCTATTAGAATTTGAATTGATTTTGTCCATTAACCAACTCATTTATTGGCTGATTGAGCAGGGAGTAGGGAGCAGAGTATTTTTCGGTACTAATGTCGAAACAATACCTGGATTTCAGCACTGATACCAGAATGACTCTTCTTTGATTTTTGTTTGGTATTTGGTACTTTGGTACTTTTAGTATTTGATAGTTTTCGATACTCGCTGCTAGGGACACGTTGTGGTCAGTAACAGGACATTTTGAAATTTGGTACCCATCTCTATTCATATATTTATCTCGCAACACGTCCAGTCTGTGGTGCTGACTGGCAAAACAGATCCCGTACGCCCCCACCTTTTAAACTTACGAACCCTCTTTTAACCCCCCTGTCTGACCATCATTTCATCTGCCTCTCATCTGTCTGTTCATGGATGTTGTGATTGTTTTCCTCATTGTCCAGGGAATCAGGAGAAATGTAGCGTTCAGGTGACACACCCGAACCTAAGCGACTGTATTCACATCAGCAAACAGTGGAAAACTTTGATGCACTTGGGTTAACAGAGCAGTAGATGCAAGTTTAGTCAATTCGTTATCTTTACCCCTTACCTTAGGTAGCAGGAGGGAAGTATGTTTAACTAAGTTTGGATCAATGACAGCTTGAATTGTGCACATGTTCTGAGCTGACATTTGCAAGAGTGCTTCTTGGTTGAAAGTACACAGTAACGGAAAGCTGAGTCAAAGGCAGTTACTGACTCTTAAGTGCCTAACAAGGAATAGTAATGTGTTTACTATGACTGAGCTACTTCTACTAACCTTTCTGAAGGTCGCTTCCATTTTATAGCCTTGCTTTGGTCTTGAAGTTACAAATATTTAAGGAGCAGCGGGTGGTTTGAAGTTTGGGGATTGTTAGACCTCTGTGACTGAATGTATTACTTCAGGTGAAGTTTTTATATGTGAATTTTGTAAAACTTACAAACTGCCTTGCAGGGTATTGCTGTCTAGGGTGAGATACATGACTCTTTGGCTCTCTAGCAGACTCGATCAATCCATTCCAACACATATGGGACTGATTTGGAGGTAGGATGATTTAAAAGTACATTTAATGGCTGTTTGTAGCCTTATTTCAATTAGAATAACATAAAGAGCATTGCAATGTTATTATCTCCTAATTGAAGGACCTATAGATCAAAAGAGATTGGTAAGCGTGATGAAATGTACCATAATAGGGAGAGTCTAACGAACCTGGACAAACTCCTAGACAATCATTGCATGCCAAAAAGTTTTCTTTTGTATTTGTTTCAAAATAAAAATATGAGTTTTGTTGTGAACCTGACAAGGAATACTGACACACTACAACAACAAACTGGTAAAAGTTGTGATTTTATTTCCTCTAATGAAAGCAAATTGAATTGCTTTAACCCTGTTTGTGGGTGATCCTACACAGACGTGCAGACATACAATGCTACTGTATATGCATGTTACAACAGATCATCTTATATGTTTTTGTTTATGTGCATCAGTGGTATGATGGCTGTTTTGTAAATCCTAGTGATTTGTGCCAACTGAATGTAAACGTACCTACTAATACCACACCCTGTGTCCAGTCTGTAGTGTTGATTGTGTATCTGTTGCAAAGTTTTGAAATATTAAATTCTCAAATAAAACTGGATGTTAACTACAGATTGATGCTTGTGTCTTATTTCATTGGTTTTCATGGTCCTGAATGATGTCTGTGCTTTATGTTTGTGAGGTATGTTTGGTATTGGAATTACACTGTAGAAACTGCACAAATTGGAGATAAATAGCCTATATAAACTAACAAAGTATATTAATAAATAAATATAGAAATAAATGTAAGGACATCAATACAGATGCAAATATTTATATAAATGATTGAAAAAATAAATTAATAAACAAGAAATATATGAAGAAAAAAATAAACACTGAAAAATGTATAATGTATTATTTTTTGAGCCCTGATGCATAAGAAGGTGGTTATTGAGTTCCAAACAGAAAGAAAATGACTGAATAAAGAAATACAGGTGGAACTATATATATATATATATGATATATA